TGAATGGTGTGATGATGGGTGTGATGGAGGATGTGATGACTGATGAGATAGATGAAGTGACGAATAATGTGATGAATGATGTAATGTATAATGTGATGAAAGATGTGATCTATGATAATATGAATAATATGATGATTAATGTAATGAGCGATGTAATAAATGATGTCATGAATGTTATGAAAAAAAAATGAAATGAACGATGTAATAAATGATGTCATGAATGATGAACGATGTAATAAATGATATGATGAAAAATATGATGATTGATGTGATAAATTATGTGATGAATGATGTGATAAATGATGTTCTTAATCATGTGATAAATAGTGTGATATATGGTGTGATGAATAATGTGATATATGATATGATGATTGATTAATGTAACGAATGATGTTATAAATGGTGTGATGAATGATGTTATGATTGATATGATGATTGATGTGATGAATGGTGTGATAAATGATGTAGTAATTGATGTTATGATTGATGTGATGATTGATGTCATGATTGTTGTAATGAATGATGTGATGATTGATGTGATGATTGATGTGACGATTGATGTTATGATTGATGTGATTATTGATGTGATGATTGATGTGATGATTGATGTGATGAATGATTAAATGATTGATGTGATGTATGATGATATGTTTTATATGATGAATGTGTGTCTATTTTCATAGACAATTCCAAAGTGCAAGTACCTTTCATCTCATTCACTAGACTAAAAGCATACTTTTTGATATATATGGAGAACAACAATCAATACAACGAGGTGCATATGCTTGCTTTGTATGCGAGCAGTTGCAGGTTCTTCACCCAGATGCAGCTAATTATTGTATTGTTATATGTATTTTCTGTTTATGCAACACAAAATACAAATTTGAACTTGATCTAATAAAACTAAACGAATACGGTTTGTTTTTTATGTTTATTACTTTTTGCGTGTCTCAATATTTTGTTTTACACAGATTTTCATCAGTAGTTCACTTATAAAGCAGCGAGAAAAGGTCAAGGTTGCTAAAGAAAGTTAAGCGGTAGGAATAGTAATATTTGAATAAATGACTATATGCATCTGAATGGAAATGAAACGAGGATTATGAATATGTAAACGTGTTTGGCTTATGATGTATAAGAAAGATAAACAAAAGACTCTAAAAACTGACACGATTTCTACATAGAAACTCGGGTTGCCATGCATATTTCCGTTTTTTTAAATGTTTCTTCTGCAACATAATATTTTAAATATAGTTTAGTATTATCCGAGTGTATGACTTCAAAGAATATGTTACCAATTGAACCCAATATTGGTCAAATTTTACGGTATTAAAAAAAGATAAGGAGTGACATGAGTTTTTCCCCCTTTGACTACGCATTCAGAATTTTGTTCCCGTTATCATTGTAAACTATCAGCTATCGTCCGGATATGTATATACCGTATTTTTTACTGAATTTCAAACTAGCAGATTATATTAAATTGATGTTTTATTATAACAAACCGCTCACTCGGTTTATATGAAAAGATATTTAAAGGTCGGGCAAACAATATGTAATGCCGGTACGTATTCGGATTTATGCACCGCAATATGCGGCCCTGTTCCCAAGTTCTTATGGATTTTTGCTGTAAAAATCATTCAAAAATCACAAATAGCATGTTAATTATTACTTGAATCGTTCTTACAATTAGTGAAACCTTAGTACATGTTTCTCAAGTTTAAGTTATTGAATGTGGTGGCACATCCAGAGGCTGCAGCTTCAAGATGAAAATTGAGAGAATCTTTCAAATTTGAATGCTAAAAATAAAATAAGTAAGTAAACTGAACAGTTTAGACATAGGTCATAGATAAGGGAACTACTAAATAATGGCAACACGGTTATCAATTGGAAATCTGTACAAAAATCATTGCTTAATTAGATATGCTGATGCCCCCAAGAGCTTTGAAGGGCTAATCTGCTTCTAAGCTGCTTGAATCGGTCTCGGATCATATTAAAGTTGAACAGTCTGAAGTGATGGAGACAAAAGTGTGAATTTGTTGAAGAACAAGAGGAAGTTTACAGAGAGGCACCACAAGCGACTTTAATGCAGTGTCAATAACAATAACAATTTAGTAATAAACACTCATTTTTTAATGAGAAGTAATAAATACCTATTTATTTTATCCGATTGTGTTGGAAGCTATAAGCTTATTGAAACACTCTCAAATCCGTTCATGGAACGCAACCTCTAATTACTAAGCAAAGTGTGTAAAGTTCTTGCTCAGGAAACAACGGCTTGCCCTGACAGGGTTTAAACCTAGACGGCAAGCAATCCTTAGATTACTTATCCGACGTGTTACCACTTTAGTTTGAAAACAAATGAAAAATACGTTAAAAGATCATAATATAATACATAAAAGACACATAATTCTTGCTTCGTTATGCTTTTAGACATTTCTATCTATTTGTGTACAGTCTTGATCAAAGATTGCTGCGTAATTATTCAACAAGAAATAATTCAATAACACGAATTCCGGAAGCATTTAGCATAAGTATCACGAAGATTTATAACAACACAAAAGCATTTTAGAATCCGTTATCAATAATATGATAGTATTTACATTTATGTTGTTCCAGGGCTTTGTCGGAAGGTCCCAGCTTATATTACTGTTATTTGATGCGAAATACAAATCTGTGAAAGTAATCATACATATATTGAGGAAATGATTTAGTATTTGATGTTTTTTCCATGCTTTATCACTTACCAGAAGTTATATATGTACATACAAACTTAAGATATCTATTGTCAGCACACATATTCAGGAAATAGTCAATTGCTTGGGGTTGCAATTTTTATTAATAATAATTTTTTAATGCTGGGTGATTAGTATTGAAAAAAAGACCAAAGGAAATTTGTTAACTGTAATGTTTGCGACAAAAATAAAACTCCTATAAATATTCATGGTCCAAACTTAGACATCCCAGATTTTTTATTATTCTGTCTAAGACAAAAGTCTCAGTTTGAAGATACATTGTATTTGATCATTCTTGATGCAGACTTTCGTTTTGATTTCAATCCATGTGCTTCTTCCTTTATCCTTTTGCATTTAAAAAATCCTAATGCATGTGACAAAGTCTATCCTTTATTGTCACAGTATCACTTATTCGACTGTTAGAGGGAACACAATCCAACTAATTGCGCATCTAGATGTTTTCTTAGGTTCAAATAGTCCCAACTCATGAGAGATCCTGTAAGAGAGATCCTATATGTCTTGTTGTCCGGCACATTGTCTCCAGCACCGGTCGACAACAAACGATTTACACACATGTAAATATAAAAAACACGTTTGTTTTGTTGTTGTTGTTGTTTTTTTTTTCTTCTTTCTTTTGATAGGATCAGCTAGGTTAGAGTGCTCTTAAGCATTTCCATAATCGTTCTAAATGTGGATCATTGTTTTTATGACGTACGCTAGACAGCACAATGCTTGGACTATAAGAAACCTAGTCGGGAAATATGTGAATTATTCTTAAACATAACAGACACAATGCAACTGATAAATCCCTTTTCTGACCTCTTATTAGAAAAAAAAAAGATTTAACAACAAGCATTGACATGTTTTGTTTTGTAAACAAATGGCTGTGTTGAAATTAAGATGCACCAATCACCGATAATTTGAATTAGACAGATTAGACTGATTAGAGTCATATACGAGTAGGGATCTATCCATTGGATTCGACTTGCAGTATTAAAACTTTCTACACAATCTATGATGTTTGGTACAGTATGTTTCAAAATATTACAAACCAGTGATATAGCTGTACATCATTTACATAAGGTACAGTATATGGCTCTAGGTATGATTTTTCTTGTTTTCCCCGTCAATTTCGAGTATGGCCAAAAGAATACCGACTTACCGTCTTCCCCGTAGGATTCGACGTTTCGCGGAATTGACGTATCGTTGTAAAGTATGCAAGTAAATGTTATCTGATTTGTTTCATTTGATTTTCTTAACCTTTTTTAACATTGTTACCACACTGTACGACCAAGAAATTCACCAATATGTTAAAAAGAACTACGGTCACTAAGGGTCACTTTTTTCCAGATATTTACATGTATACAGCAGATGTGGCAGCCGTAAAACGTTGCCCCGTACTTTCTTCAGTGTTGTTATATTTTTCTGGTCTTTCGCGATCATTGATTCCAGCACTTTTAAGTGTTGAAACCTGAGTACCGCTCATGCCACTGCTAGGGGACGTGACGGATGTTGCATTGCATTTTTTTTTCATAATCCCTCATGTGCAGCCTCATTCAAACCAAGTCTTAGTTTTCATTTTATTTTGCTGATTTTAAAGCTTCCGAGAGATCACTTTTTCCAGATATGTGTTGCTTCTTATTATTTACTTTCAAGCAATCATTTAGAATAAATTCAAATGTGAAGTGTATGTTTTTAACAAGTAAAGGATTAAAAATGGCACCATGCATAAGAAAGAACAATTTTAGAAAAGTAGGGTTAACAAAGATTATTATGGCATGCTTAACTTTGACATAATGGTCTATTTTATTATGGCATGCTTAACTTTGACATATTGGTCGATTTGCTTTACTATTAGGTGCAAACGGCTTTACTATTAGGTGCAAACGGAATATATTAAGGAAAGGTTAAACGCAGGAGTCGATAGGGTCTACAACTTTAACCCAACAAGTGATTTCTTTATTATGCATGTAACAGTATGTGAGTAGAATGGTAGTAGGTGGAACTTAAGTTTTTTGTTTCTTAGAGCTTTTAGAGATCGGAACAAAAGAAAAAACATAGAATGTTTATGTGGAATTTTTATTTAATGATGACATTTAGCAAAATATTAGTGTCAATGTTTGCACTGTTTTCCTCCATACCTAGGAGCTGGACAAGAACATGTTGATCGCATCTTAGCGTTATAGTTTGATGGACTATAACCACCATTGTATATACATGTCATGCTAGTAACTTGTTCTATACACCAACCGCCATGTACTACAAAACAAATGAAGCATTCAGCAAGCTTTATTTTTAATATCAGATACATTAAACAATAATTAACTATAAACTATTAAAAATTAGACAATACAGGTATCTAGCTGCATGTTTTGCCTCCATTCGACGGAGAAGGACACCCGCAAGATGTTCGCTCATAGCCAGAGCCGTCTATTCTGTACCCGTTGTAGTGACTCGTGTATGAGCATTTATATACATTCTTCCAGCACCATTCCCCGTCGACTGGAATAAGTGTACATTAACAGTAATTACTAAAAGGCACACTGTCATGTTTCTGTCTTTGATTTACTGTATAAGTGGATACTTATGCGTCACAGAAATTTTGCGGATGTCAAAATGTGGACTTTTGCGTGCGGAAATATTTGCGAAAGTATGATTTCTTAAATTCTAGTATTATCTACGCAAAATGCAATCGGACGTCGGATATTGAAAAAAGCCTTATACATATGTCCTCCTGTCCATGTTCATATCCTATATATTGTCAGTCATGAATCTTGAAAATTTTGCATAACTTGAGTTTAGGTCCTAACAATAACGTGAAAACAACGGGCAGGAAAACCACGTGTGATCAATTTCCAAACTTCAATTGCATGTCATTGATTGCAATATACGATTCATAGAGATACATTATAAAGTAAACGATTCTTTTAAGTTTAGAACCTTTAAATGTCTCTGCTTTATGATATAAAATAAATAAATGTCATTGTGTTCTGATCATTATGGGAATGTCCTTTTCAGATGAAATTGTTCAGGGAAAATGTGTATTACACATTACAATGTGGTAACAGATGGTGACAATTTCGGTGCAGACTTCAGATTAAAAAAAAAAACAATTAATGTTTGCCTCTTTTTGGGAGAAAAATTAATACCACACAGTCTTACTAAGGGTCAAATATGAATTTATTTTCACATTTATTTAAGCCATTTTCCATATTTTAATAGTTTAAAAGTTGTCTAGATAGAACCACAAGAACTTCTATAAAATAAGTTACGTCCAACGCAGTAAGCGTGCCTCAAAAATGTTTGCATTTCGGTGTTGTACCCTTCTCAATTTCGGTATCATTTTGTGAATTTATATAAGTAAGGTATTAACTAATGTCACCTGGACAAGGCTGCTCTGAACATTCCTCAATTTCCAAATCATTGCCGGTACAATTCATGCCACCATGTTGAGGTGCCGGGTTTATGCATTGCCTGTGCCGGGTATGTGTTCCATTTTCACAAGTAACAGAGCAATTTCCCCATTCGCTCCAGTCTGACCATTGGCCGTTCACTACAATTTAAGAACAATTTTATCAAGAGCTTCCTCAGCTACAATTCAATCATACGATATGGAATTATATAATACAGTTCATTCATTTTCATTTTTAATATCTAATAAGTACATGTGAAATATATTAATTAAAATAAACTCAAATATGTATGCGACATGTTGTAACCTCGTCCATATATTATATTTTTCATCACATTACCTCAACTTGCAAACAATTATAATAAGCTAAATTAATTATCTTATCGTGCAGATATTTCAACTTGCCTAACCGCAATAAGTCTATAGTTTTATTGTTCCATTTCAATATTATAATAAGTTCACTGTTACATTATCAAGCCTGTCGGTACTTATATTTATTTACTTGTCAATATTTCAGCTTATCCATATCTTGACATTCCAACATCTTAGCCTGCCTATATAATCTAAACTTTCTAAAAGCAATGTTCTCTCCGTAAATAAAATGTCTTATATCTTAATTTACCAATATATCAGTTCAACAAAGTATTGACAATACCATGCATACATTTATTCTTAATTAGTTTTTAAACTTGCTCATATTTTATGTAATTGAGAACATCATTTACAACAAAGGTAGACTTTACCTGCACATGGTTCAATGCTACAGTTTCTCATTTCATTTCCCGTTCCTACACACGTCTGGTTACTCGCAGCGTCAAGCTGATGTATGCATATTCGATATCTTACAGAAGTTCCGTCGTCACATGACTGGGAACATACTGACCATTCTCCCCATTCTGACCAACCGTAATGCCCTAAAATATTATAAGATAATATTATTTCATCCGATTAAAAAAATATGTATTTGCGCCTACAGTAACAAATGTAATGCATAATAAAATGTGAATGCACAGCTTAACAAGGCAAAAGCGATTAGCAAAAATTTCAGCCGAAGACAAAGCCATGCCACACAAGACCTCCAGGAGGGCACACAGATCGGCACCGAACACAAATTAGGAAATGGTACAGGGACTGAGCAGGGCTAGGAATAAATCTTATGGATTTGTTTTTTCATTGTTTCAATCTATGATTTTAAAATAATCAATTATAGTGATTTAGTATTTTATAAAAGACGAAATACTACTTTTTTAATTTCAATACTTTTATGACACATAATTACACATTTAGTGCTACAATCTGCAGGAGATAAACATGCCCTAAAACCATAATTTCAACGTTTTCTTTTAACACTTTCATGTCAAATGACGTACACAGCTTAATGTAACACCATTGCCGCTTAATATCGGAACAGCCACTAAATGTTGCACCATAGCAGTTTAATGTCGCAACATTCGCTTAATGTGGCGCCATTGCCGTTTTATGTCGTTACAGCCATTTATGTCGCACCTCTATCACAACATGTCGCAACAGTCGCTATTTATCGCACCATTGCTGTTAAATGTAGCAACAACAGCTTAATGTCGAACCATTGTCCATTAATGTCGCAACAGTCGTTTAATGTTGCAAACCGTTTGCCTTTAAATGTCTCAAAGGTAACGTTAAATGTAACATATTTTTCCGCTATCTTCAAATGTCAAAAACTACAGTGAAATGTTGTAAGATGTTAATCAATATTGATCTAATATGTACTAGTTTATTATCAATTTAAAAGGTTTTTTACTTTATTACAATGAATTTAATGTTCTGTATAATGATGGCTACCGATATACTTTAAGGGAAAGTATTATTGGTCTCATGAAAGTCATTATTTTCAATTAACGGCTATTATTTATGCTTAAGAGCTCCATCGTTAAAACATTATCAAACATATATTTGGCATGTCTAAAGAATTAAATAAATATGGATTCTGAGGCGTAATGTTACTATTTACTGCATAGTTTATAATAATTGAGACTATTTTAAGTCGTTCTGGCTGGAGGTATATGGTTGTCATGTCACATGTATGACGATTTGATTGTTTGTCTGTTTGTTTCATTGTACGCCTTTTCCCAACAGTATTTCAGTCATATAGGCGGGTAGTTTCCTAACCATCGTTCCTGGGGAGTTTCACCAGTACTGGACTACCATCCTCCGCGCATCTCCCGGGGATCGAACCCACGCCAGAGAGGTAACTGGATTAGAAGTCATCGACTCTAACCCCTCAACCACAAGGCGGTATGTATGACGAAGCCTTTAGCTAATTATAGTGTCCATACATACATCAAATTCTTTAAGGGCCTCCGTTACCTAATGAGTACAGTTGTTACATGTATTTTGGTGCCTATATTTCTATTCTATTTTAGACTTAGGATCAGTTGACTTTGTAAATCAAAGTAGATGAAGATCCAGTCATATAGTTCCTTTTCCACCGTTTACGTACTTCGCACAAACAGGCAACAGTTTTTAAATTCTCGATCTGTGTTTTTGACTTAAACATATTTCCTTTCTTTAAATATTTGTTCTAAACTTAATTTGCCAATGTATGACATGATTACAACCGGTCCAAAGAGAGTGGCCTTGAGAGAAATATGCGAAGAAGTTATTCAATGGGGGTTGATCTAAAAATGACATGAATTGAATAATAACAATTTGAAATAATAAAACATAAACTATATGATGTAGTCTGGAAAATTAAATGCAATTATTTTTCAAATAGAAAGACACTGATGCCATTTAGGTTGAATACAAGACTTTACAAATAGTCGAAATGTTCTTAAAAGAACTCAAAGTAGTATATGTTACAACATAATAATAATTTTAAGATACAAACACATAGTAGATGGACGAAAGTATGATTTGGTACAGTTGAAAGGCGTGTTTATACACAGCAAAAAACTTAAAAGATGAGTAGTTTTGTACATGCAAACTAGAACATAAATCAATCGCGTTAAACCTTACCGATTTCATGTGAAACAAAAAGAATGTTAAACAGCGAATGTAGTCTTCAGTAGGCAGTTGCACTGAATCAATCGTTTATATCACTTAGTTACTTTATAATGACGAATATGAATAATTTAAAATAATGCCATTAGGGACCTTGAGTTTAACATGATATTTAACGGCATTGCAACATAGAACGGCACAGCAGACATTTACATACCACACATTCCACATGATGCGGGGCAAAGGTTATCGACGTCGGCTATTGCTTTGCATGCTTCTTTATTGAGTGAACCAAAAGCAGCACAGGCTGTTGGATTGAAATCGATGCACGTCCTCTCATCTCTAAGTAGATGTAAGTCATAAATGTGGTCATCTGATACTGAAATGAAAGCGTATACTTTACGAAATTATAAAATATCATGCACATGTAACCAATGCTAATTCGTGTAATTAACACAGAGTACGGGTAATAATTTTCTGAAATTTTATAGCAATTATTTGTTGTTGTTTTATTTTTTTTATGGCATTTGTTTCAATATTTGCACCGCTTCAAAATCAAGGAAATTAATGAAATCTACAAAGCCAAAATAATCAACCTTTGCATATACATTTTTATATATTAGCTTTAGCTAAAACTTATTTTTGAATTGTGCAATTTTTGCATGCCATTCATAGTATCATTTGAACTGAAAAGACAAAATATGTAATGATCTTTGTTGTACCTACCTGAAATTCGCTGACTCCCACAAGATTTAAAATTACAGTGATCTTCCGAGCAACACAATGAACAAGAACTATCTGTACCATCAGAACGTTTTCCTACAAAGGCCGGAGAAGGGGATGATTGTTTCGGCGCAGCAGAGCAGTGCTTGAAATTTAACAGAAAAGTCAAATAGAAGAACAGTTTGAGTATATGTGTTTCTTTTGAAGTAGAAAGCACAGCATTAATGTCTTTGACTTTGAAATAAGGAGTAAAGGAATACCTAAAGTAAGCTCAAAATTGCATGTGATAATGTTGCAGACTAGTTTTTTTTGTCCCTGTTCATGGACAGTACTTGAAAGTGAAAGCTACTTTTCACGCCCCCAACCAGCAACGGCTTAAGCAGAATTCAACACTTAAACAATGTTATGGTGCAATGTGCCATTGTTAATTTAGAAAAATCCGAGTTTCGTTGACACTTTATCAATAATATTAGATCTGTGCATCCGTGCATTTGTAAATAATCTATTAATGCTGTCATAAGCATTTGTTATTTAATGAATGTATTAATTGTTTATAAGATAATATACAAATAACGTTGATTAATTATAATAACATATCAGCTACCTGCAAATTCATACAACCAAGTCTGTATCTAGTGTTGCCATAGATAACAACTTTTCGGATGAAGCACATCTATAAACATAACGATATTGTATTTAATATGGATGAAGCACATGATTAAAAAATAGCGTATATTTTCAGTTCAGCTTAATTTAATTTTTATTATTCAAGAAGAAATAGATATCCGAAGATGTATTCATACAAAGGTGATTATGGAACATTCAATGCATTTAATAGAACAGAACAGAACATGAATTATATTTTTAACTTAAGCATTTTGCTCCTCGTCCTTAACATGATTGTGTCAAAGTCAAACGATGTAATGGTACAAAACAATATTAAAAATAGCAATACCTGTTGTACATATGACAAAAGAAGGTATAGAATATAAATCAGTATCATTTAACATGAAGTTCTTGACGTACATGAAAATAAATTGAACATTGTTTATTTAACATTTATTGCAACAGATCATGCCTAATTTCTAAAGATAGATATGATAGATATTTTTATTGTCGTGTGTTTTGTGTGTGAGCCTGCTTTAAGCTGCTGTTTTAGTAAGACCTATCTTTTCTTGCATTTTTCGGCCCTTTGCAATGATTTTACAGAATAATCAATATAATTATTTCTGAATCAAATTTCCTGTTCAATACAGACTATACACACAAAAGTCTGTAAAAATAATAATAAGATTTAACTTTTTATGCCTTGTTAATTTAATTTAAGGATACCAGAAAGTAATGAATAACTTTAATGAAATAAAATGTTTACACATACTAGGATGTAGCCGAGGATTTTTCTTCTTTAACTACCCTTTATTGTATAAATTAAAGGAAAAAAAAACGGCAGTGGAGTTTTTTTACGACGATGCGATACTACTTTATTGAAGATGAATAATGTAAATTCACTCAAAGAACTTTTTAATACGATTCCATCAAAAAACATAATTGATTATTTAAAAGAGATAAATTTGTATTCTAGGATCTAATTGGCTCATTTCTATTGTCATTTACAATGTTTTCCAATATATTTGAAGCCTATTATAGCATTCGGCACGATATGGCCAGTTATGTGTTGACGTGCCGTAAAAATCCAAACAAACAAACAAACAAAAGGTATCTATAATTGTAAAAAGTGCATAATTGTGTTCTTTCTTTACTTTAACCTTTAATAACAATATCTGAGATATTGCTTATTTGAATTTTGATATGTATTTAAGAGGATTATTGTTAAGGCATTGCGTTTATCAAACATGTCAAAATATCATAATGACATTAATAGTATAAATTTGAATACGTCTTGTTAGTTGATATTGAATTGAATGTTCAAAAACCATATTTCCTTGAAACAACACATAGCAGCACACACAGTTCATCCCATCAGGTGCTGTCAGCGCTTTGATTCTTAATTGTAAGAAATTGTAAAAAAGATAGTTTACCTCATCGCTCTGACATTGTACAAGGTTTTTGCATTGAGCAGGATCATCAATCAAATCACAGGACAAACATCGCGGTGGTCGAGATATGTTGCCTCTTGGAGATACTGATAAACAATCATAAGCGGTATTAGAATGTCAATCCTCCAGTAATGCAAAAGAGAGGAAGATAAGCATAGATAATTTTGAAAGTTATTTAAGATGGCTCAATATGTTTGCGGTCATGATAAATGCACATTTAATGTTTTTCAAGAAATAGCTTTGTAGTTTAAATCCAAAATTTATAATTTATGGTATACAACCTGGAAGTTGACAGTTGTCTAAGTTACACAGATCTTCATTGCACACTTCTGAACAAAATGTTTGACTTCTTTGACCAACTGGTACCTTAAATGTTAAATGTTTAATTTTAATTGCGATAAATTAGTTTTAATGGCCTAGAACTTCATTTTAAATGCCGACTAAGTATTAAAGTGGTAATGCATGCATGTACAAGCTTGCAAATGCATACACTTTGATTTGGATCTATTTAAATTGCTTATTCGTTATATCAGCACGCAGTCTGTTTTAAATGAAAAATAAGTTCGCTTATACGTTTGTTTTTTTTTTGTTTTTTTTTTTTTTGTTTTTTTTTTAATGATGTAGCTTAGTGGCTTAGGTGGCAGCTATAAGTAAATGTTCCTATGTCATTAAATAACGAGGCGAATCACGAATTGACACTTGTCAGTGAAATGAATATCAGGACATTTGAATAGCAAGAAAATGGAGCTGGATTTCTTGTAATTCATATGGATTTCTAAATACAAACGAGTTATACAAGTTTGAATAAAAGAAAGAGCATCGAAACACGTGGCTATTTGATTTGTACGAAGCGGAACAACCCTGAGTATTAATCAGATTCCCGAGTATTATCATGATGTTCTTTCTCTTTTGCATTAAAGGCAAAAACTAGTTCCCTGTCGTAACAATATTTAACGCCAGAAAAAAATGTTAGCGATATACCAGCATCTAAATATGACTTTTTGTCTCTGTCTTTGTAAGAAGTAAACTCCTGCAAAACAAGTAGCCAATCAACGACAGTGAGTGCTGATTACAAATACGTGCACTTTAGTTAACGCACTTTGCATGTTTTTGTATTCGATTTAACTCTTACACATATTTCAATGGTAAAGTCTCCAAACTATGATACGATTGTATTTTACCCTGATGCATTTTAAAAGTGATCTCCGATATATAAAACAAATGTATTTAAACGCTTACCATGTCATATGTGCATCCAGCTGTGTAGAGAACACTTCCATTGATAAAACCATCCGCCCTTGTGAAACATTCCTTAAAGTGTGTGTAATAAAAAAATCCATAATTTTGATTATCACATTGCCCTGTCTCTTTGAACAACCCCGTAACAATCGTATAGCACGACCTTGCACCATTCTGATGTGACATTAGTTGCTTTTACATTTATAGCGTAAAGACGCACTAAATGTAAGCGTAATACTACACAAGTGTCAATTGAAAGTGGAAATATTTCGTGTTAATAGCTCTTATATGGATATGTGATGAACAGAATATTATATATATTCAACTCGTTCAATAAATTCAGTATTGAATCTCCACTCATTTATGACTTAATATGAATAAAACTTTAAAAATGTTTTCTGTTTTGATATCTTTGTTGCTATTATTTAAATCCATATAATCCTTTTTTCATGTTTGTTTTCAATTGATTTTAAGAATATGATGTCAGAACAAAAAGGCTTCATACGTTTCAATTATCTATCAAAGTTTGTTAAACGAAACTTGTCCGAAGGTTATTGCCAAAGGTAAATATCTTGAAAAACGTGATCACTCGGAAGCATTAAAATCACCAAAATTACATGAAAAATGCAGACTTTTGATGCACAATCGCTCCTTTTTGAAGGTGAAAGCTTAATTATATAATAAAGAGACTCTTGCTTTCTATTATTTAATTCTTTATGAGGTGGCATTACGTGATTTTTAATTACAACTAACACTTTGTAAAACATAATGCTTTGATGTCTCAACACAATTACGACAATGACCTTTCAATGTCCATAAAGGACATATACATACACTAAAAGATATATAAAGATCGATGGAAAAGTGAAAACGTAAGCAAACCTCCCTGCCAGTACACTCCACTGCATTCATGCAATCCTCACTGGTTCTAATATCATTACAAGAATAGCAAAGCAACCCACTGGAACCTTAAAAAAATGTGTCATTAATTTATTTTGATTATGAAACTCGTGTATCTGAAGCTATTGTTACATTCACAAAGGTATTGTTTTAAAGCCATCACAAATGGATCAATTCACAGATTTTGTAACGTATTTCAAAGTACAGTAAAGTGTACTAACTGTTACTATTATTAAGGATATTAAAGGTAACAACTGATATTCAATACAATTCATAACTTACCTGTTATGCTACACAATATCGCAATCAATTGAATTTTGTCTGAAAAACAAGTTTTGTAAATTGTACGCAACTATATTATGATGTATGTTAGCATTTTTATTGTAACCAAAGCATCGCAGGAAAAGATATACTTATATCTGCTTAAATTATTGACATAAAATAGAGAAGTGGAAAAAATAGTCAACAAATAAATCTTAAATTTATGACATGTTATGCTTAACAGGCCATTCATTGTAAAATTTCAAACAATGGATATCCGATGACCTGACTGGGAGATAAAGAGTTAGATAAAGTCGACGAATACTTTCATGATCTTTTATTGTCATCATTATAACTTATAACCCTAAAAACACAAAAAAATAAATGATGGCGCAATGTGAAAAGGAGCTTACTTGTCTAAATAAGCTGACGTTTAAATGAATATAAGACTTTTTAAGGAAACAAGCAGCATTTAAAAGAAAGACTTACTGAAAGCGGCCATTATTTTTTCCGTTTTCGTTGTATAAAATTGCTAACAATGACGGACTTATCAGATTAAGGACAAGAAAATTAGATAACAAGATAAGAAAATAATATTGTAAACATAATACTCAACATAAAATGTACAAAAACACTAACAGGAAATACGTCATATTGACCGTAATTTGTGTTCGGAAAGATTTCACAATTGTCTTTCCTAATGATTTATTGTTAGTGTATTGCATCCAACAAACATAATATTACGATGGATAGCGATGGCAAGAGAAAAGACTGGATTCAAGAAATTCATCTTATGGAGTAAAGTCTATGAGATTAAGACAGTTCTTAATGTATAGTAACTAATTATCTCGAGAGACATTATAAGCATGAGCGAAAGAAACAAAAAATCAAACCTATATTAACCAACTAATCAACACACCTACCAACTAACCAACCTATTAACGAACTAATCAAAAGATGATCGAATGAATGATTGGACGAACGAAATAGCTACCTTATTGACTATCTAACTAACTATCTAACTAACTAACTAAATAAATAAATAGCTGACTATCTAACAGACGACAATGACCATCTCACAAAAATGTGTTTCACCAGCGTTCTGTTATAACTGAAAAGCATTTTTATTTTATAAATATACTTCCGTCTGAATATCTATTTCTGAGAGTTTTAACCTTTCTGCCTTAATGCTATGTCCTCACCGCATCAGATCAACTCGATCATCCCGATCACATGAATTCCTCGATGAAGCCTGACAAAGCTGGATAAAATGCACATTCACGACTCCTCCACGACCTCAAGTCGACCATACACGATGTTTTACGACTTCTTCTCGACGACAACCCGACCAACATCCCGACTTCTTCTCGATCACCAAGACCTATACGCTAGTCATTCACGATCTCAACTAGACTAACTGGACCTCTGCTCGATCGTTGCAAGATTTCCACTCGACCAGATCGTAATGATCGTAATCGAGTCGTGAATAATGCTTGAGTACGTAGAAGTCGAGATGATCGTGTGCAGATCGGATAAGAGATGTATACCCGACCAAACTAGATCGTTACACGATTTATTCTCGATCAACTAGATCTTCTACTCGATCACTATATGATCGCTTCTCGACCGCTTATCTACTCGATCGCTACTCGAATTTTTTTGACATGTCAAAAAAATTCGGGTAGGAAGTCCGAGCCATGCCGACCAAGATAGACCGCTCCGACCAACCCCGATCACGCATGCTGACCGAGCTAGACCGGTTCCCGATCGCTTGATTGTGCATGATCAAGTTTATCTGATCGGCGATGAAAACACAGCTTTAAGTATATGTCATTGTAACATTTTTTTCAAATGTAAATAATTCACTTTGGTTTTATGTAAATTAATATATTTTAACCACACACCGAGTTTTAATTTGATTTAAGTGATTTATAAATCTATATGCCGATGAATAATGTTAGATAATGAGTTCCCATTTCTTTTATCTATCAATTCTAACGCATTAATCTCGACAGGTTAAGTGTAATGCAATATGGTACATTATGGAATTATTCTGCGCATGTAGTTTACTGTAGAAACCGGCTTTTATTTTACCGACGTGCAGTCGTGAATATTCTTTTTCTTATTCAATGCAATCTGTCAGTTATCTGTTATTTGTAATCTTTTTATTTACTTAATTAAATACATACAAATAAATTTACGGATAGAATAGGAAACTTGAAATGTGTCTTTAAAAACTCTTTCTGCAATAAATACTTCACAAATTATTTATAAATGTTTGAAAAATATATAATATATAAACTATCACAATATTTCTACCCCTTAGATTGTAACAAAGTCATTGGGATTGTAACGAAGTAACAGTTAGCTAAATAGCAAGAGCCTTTGGACTCGTGTTTGGTTCTAGGACGGTGCAGGTCACAAGTATTTGAAAACTGCTTGACAGCCTGCACAGTAACGAGGCGGTGGCTGACCTGTGCTCTGGTGAATTTAAATTGGCTAACCGCCGTGATCCGAAGGGTAAACTGCCAACACCAGAACCATGTTATTATTTTATTAGGAACAAAGAAGCTGGAAATGTGCTTTGATTTTTCTTTAAGTGTTACTTATTGTGCTAAGGACCTTTATAAGTCTATAGTTGAAAATGATTGGTTGGTAACTTGTTAGTACCCTGCACAAACGTTAGCATGTTTTTATAATAATTGTGAAATGACTTTGATAATTTGTATTGATTTATTATATTAAAAAAGTTGAAAAAAGACGTGCAGCAAGTATTTCAGACAATTTCTTTCGAATTATGTGATACTTTTCTTCGGGCCCTGATGTTTTACCTACACTGTGTCTTGCACAACTATTTTGTAAAACAAAAGTTATAATACCGCAGTTGCATCACGAAGCGGGCCAGAATTTGTATGTAGTTTTGTCGATACGACGAAGTTCATATTGCGTTTAATACATATATCTGGTATCCAAAAAGAGTAACAAACAAAAACATACCTTTATCGTGCCAAGATGGCGGCTTTGTTTACATTTTTTAGGATACGACGCAGTTTTGATTCGGAGCCCTGTTGTAGTTCTTATTTACTTCAACTTTACTTTTATTTTACAGGATTTTACGTTTTGTTATTGTTTTTGTCTTCAAAATACTTTGTATGTGCCACCTTATGCATATAATTTTAATATTTCAAATACTTAATCGTAAAAATTTAAAAAAGCTCAATAATTATATCGTACTTCTTATGACTCTTTTTTTCATGTTTCCTTATGCAAATTTTTAGTTTAAGTTTTAGTTCGGCCGAGTATCTTTTTAAAAGATACCCGAGTATCTTTTTAAAAGATACATGTACTTCTTGTTTCTGTTTTATCAATTTTAGACAATCTCAGGTTATATACAGCTGCCTCATATGTCGAATTTACAAGCAAGACATTTAAGGGATTTAGCATGTGATTTGCGGTAGATAAGAAGACAAGAAACTGGACAATTTTGGCTTAGTTGAAAACGATTCCTCATATCTGATGAATTGACAAAACACCCAAAAGTAACAGGTTGGACAACAATAAATGAGGAAAGATGAGTATATTAAATGTGTAGGTTTCTTAATAATCTGTGTTTTATTGTACTAAGTTGCTATATCTAACAGTTTCTTATATGTTGCAAGCTTAATTTACATCAATGTTAAGATCTCCGGTATGTTCTATAGTTTCTGGCAGTGTTAACGGCAAAGTCTATTAAACGATAATTATCTTAGCATGTAAGGAAAATTTGGAAAACGATAAAAAGTGATTTAAGAAGCTAAAATTGTACTCAAATGCGTTCAGCACCACTAATCTTAAGCTGTTACCAACTGACAGTAGGAACATGACTGTAAACGTCAACATGATTATAACAAACCTGTATTTTCTGAAGATGAGGGAAAACTTTCAATAGAGATCGCATTTGATTGTTTTAATTATTGCAAAAATTCAGGAAAGGTGTGATCCCTCGGACGCATCAATCAATCACTAAAGTATAATACATGAAAATTGCAGACTCGGTTTGTTTAAGTCTTTACTTGAAGAATAATGAAATAGTGCAACATCCCTCACGCTCATAGCGCCCGCCAGATCGGTACACAATTTTCAACACTTAAAGATCCTGTAACACAATGTTTGATGGCTTTATAACATAAATATGATGCTCAAATTAAGATTTATCAATATTGTAAGTTCCAAAAAGCATTATTTATAAAGGTATTACCGAATTTAACATTTCATGTAAATTAAGGGAGGTAATTAGAAATTTATTTTCTATAAAGTCGAAGTCTAATTGTTCAATAAGAAATAAATGTATATATTTTAATGATTACATATCATGTGCACAAATATTTGCAGTATATTTATTCATATTCTTCGATGCTTGAAAATTGTTTTATTAGCGTTATTATATACACAATTATAACTTTTACTTAACTATAGCATCTTTCAACGAACGGTTCTTTTGTGAGATTACGAAATCATATATGCTAAAGAGCATACATGCAATAAAGGCAGTTATTTAAAATACTACATAAATAGTACAAACAATAAAATGTTTTCAATATATTAAAGATAATGGCAATTTCAAAATTAAACTAAAATATTAATTGCTGAAGTAGGATTTGACCTTACTAGTCTACGTCTACATTCTTCAAGTGAAAACTCTTTACCAACTGCGCTAAGAGGGATTTATAAGTTACACCATTTTACCAATTGGATATTTACATTTATGTTAATTAACAAGTAAATGGAATATACCGACTACAGGGTCAAATGATAGAGTGTCAGGTCAATGTTGTTGGACAATACCGGAGTTATAACGTTATCTTTATGTATTATGACTTAATCTTGAAGTTAGTAATGCAGAAGTAAGATAGGTTTACCAAACGTGAAAACCTGGGGTAATTCATTTGTATTCATACATAAACGGCTCCAACCGTAGTCTTAAATGTTCAATAATGTTCAAATGCCAACCGAAGCATTTGATAAGAGGCATTTAAATCCTTTTAAACGTTTTACAAGCCGTGCCCTTACATTGTTTCACCTCCACATACATCGTGATTTATTGCTAAATAAGATAATAATAGCATTATCTTGATCTAATCTTGATTTACGATAAGGGAAATACAAGCTAACGCAATCACTATTTAGTCATCTAATGTATTTTTATATGGTTCTATAGCTTTCGTTATCAGGGACATTACTTAATCAAGTTGAACACGAAAATAATTGATAATATCTTTTTTTATTCAAATAAACACCACACTTAATTGTGGGGCAAGTACGAAATTAGTTTGTCATTCTGAAATAAATATAGCCAATCTGTAATAATCTTTACAATATAAAAATGTTAATATAAAATTATTTATATTCAGTTACAAACTTTTCTCATAATTATACTATTTGTAACCGTCATTCTGTATGGTGAAGGACATTGTAAATGTTTATGCCTTTTGAAATCTTGAAAATAAAGATTATAGTTATTGTTTATTCAATCACATATTGTTAAAATTACCATAATGATTTAATATACTGAAAAGGTTTTGTTTGTTTGTTTTTTATTCTGTAGATGAAATTTCTTATGCAATAAAATAAAATAGTTTTGACGTTAAACAACTAAACAAATGGTATAATTATTTGTAATTATGATTAATGATTTAGTTATTTGTATGCAAATTATGTCAACAAACATACTATGTGTACCTTGCCTTACATTTTGCTACTACAACGGAGCGCTACCTTCACTAGTTGTTTGACATCTAACATGCTCTTAATCCATTATTAAAATACATAATTGACATTTCTTATAGACAATAGAACAATATGGATATCTGAGGCATAGTGTTCCTTCATTGAACGCCGCCTTTCCTTGTTGATCTTGTTTATCATATTTCAAATAAGAATATTGTTTGGTATGCACAAAATCTTTTAATATTTTACGCTCGTGCATAGCATATTTAAAAAAAAACAGTCGTTACTCTTCATAAAATATATATTATTTTAGTAGTTCTGTGATCAATCTTTTATTGATTGTCCGTATTAGAGAAATATAATGCTTTCAATGATAGTTTAAAGGTCTTTTTTGTTCCATATTTCAACTTAAAGTAAGTAAATGGCTAATGATAATATGCATTTTTATTAATCTTTATTATTCATTCATTCATTCATTCATTCATTCATTCATTCATTCATTCATTCATTCATTCATTCATTCATTCATTCATTCATTCATTCATTCTTACATACATTTGGCAAGAACCAAACCGCAACATATCACATAATTATATTATTTTCTTGCATATCAGACTTATACATATATCTCCGCTAGTTTTACTGATGCTGAAAATGTTGTTTTGCATGGGTGTAACCTGATGGGTCGCGGGCTCTAAAATGGCTTCGTTTGGTACAATTCATAATGAAACTGCGTTCTTCAATCACGTTGAATGAAAGTGTTAATTCATACGCTATTGTAGGAAAATCTGATGGAGGACATGACATACAGTCGACTCTCGTTATCTCGAAGTCATCGGGACCGTCCAAACAATATCGAGATAACGAAATGTCGCGATAAACATATTAGAGTTTGAATAAGGCAGAAACTGATTTTTACAAAACACATGTGCATACATTATGTCAAATAAACTATGATATCCACATGTCTTGATTTCATAGGCCTAGTCAATATTTAACAAAGTAACAATAACGGATGTTTACCAGCGAATTACGGGTGTCTGTGATAAAAACACATTGTGAGGTTTATTCAGGAATACACCAATATAGTGAAAACATTTTCAGTGTGGTTGATCCGGATATCCTCCCAGGTTATTTATCGGGTCTTTCTCGAGATTGTTCGACCGCTGATGGATTTGGTGGTGATGTTGTGAAACAATATTGCAACGATAGCGTTTCTATACTTTCACTATTTCATTTACATTTAAAGTCATAATGAATTGATACAGTGTTCGAAAATTTATAAAGAACGTAAAATTCACTCATTTTGGACATACGTCAATCAACACGCTAAATAGATTTGATGAAAATATCGAGATAAACAAATATTTCCAATATAGATACAGAAGGAAGAAAATCGGGACTTTCAAAATTTTATCGAGATAACGAAATATTGAGAAAAGCGATGTCGAGATAACCATTGTTGACTGTAAATTTCCATGGCAATTTAGTAACTAAAATAAGGTAACCCATTTTAAATATGGTAGATTATGCAAGGATAGGAATATATGTCAAAAGGGTACTTACCCATCGGAATACCAGCACGTGAGGTGGTTTTGACCCCTGGTGTTGCATTAAAATTTTAAAACCCGAGGTTATCCTAAATCTTTTTTCTTGTAACGGGGCAATATGACCTTAACTGTGTCCGTAACTGCTCCGTAAAACTAAACAATAAAAAACAACAGAACAAAAAACAGAAAAACAAACAAACTAAAAAAAAATTGCTTTTATTTAAAAAATCGGTGGTACAAATATGATAATTATATCTAAAAGTATTTTTTTAACTGTCTGTATACCTTTAATATCAAGCGATACGAATTTTATATTGTGAAAAGTCATAAACTCATTTGCATCATTTATAACCCTTGTTATGATATTAAAACATATTTAAAACGCCGTTACAATTCGTTTTATGTATACATAATAACCCCATTATTAAACCATTGAAATTACTTACTTAAATTGACTTTAATTTGCAAATAAATTGATAAGATTGTTGATATGTACCTAACGTATTGATTTATAAACATAAAGTGCATGCGTTGATTTAGGGTACAGTTTTATTACGATCAGGGGTACGCAATGTGCGACATTGCGCCTCTAACTTACATGTATATCAACTTTTAAACAAACAAACTTATCAGCTATTCATTCCGATCTCTTATCTTTGCTTCCTGGTGTGGAGTAAGCGGCATGAAAAGTCTCTATGGAAGGAATACAAATACTTTCGTGACAACGAATCCCAACCTGAAGGAAGCGGAGCATGGCGTCAGAAAAAGAAGAGGTAGGAATAACAATAATTTTGTATTTTATTATTAGAAAATATATCATTATTCAGTTTTATATAACACCTTTATTGCTGCATTCAATTTTTAAATTTGTAATGATATAATACTTTGCTTGCTAGCGGCATATCTACTTATGCAATAAATGATGACCAAAAATCAGCCGACACTTTTACGATCAACACTATTCGCTTTTCAGTTACTTCATATTAATTGTTCAAATTTTCTCTAAAAAAATAATGTTCAAAGATAATGTTTATTCAGGAAATTTAGGAGATTAGTTATATATACTTTTAAGTTTACATCGCAAATCATCTCATTTGTTCAAGGCAAAAAACATTTTTAAAAATAATGGACCAGTGTATTAACATGTAATTTGATGTTTTAAAGACGAATTATATATTTTCTAATATGTTACATTTCAGATACCTCCCGTTTTTAGAATTATTATCTTAATCTACAATTTTAATAGCTGTATCAAAAATATTAACAATTATAGCAACCTACGTTCAAATGTTATACACATGTTGTAGTGTAGGATTTTAAACAACGGAACATGTATTTAAAGTAGCATGCTTTTATATTTATTCTAATTTTCATGAAAATTTTGGAATGTATATAAAAGTAAAATATTGTGGAGTACCAAAAATAAAGTAATTTACACATTGCAGACAGGACTTACAAACGACATAAATCACCAAAAGAGGTCAAAATATGCTAAATAGCTTTAACAAATATAGTGATAAATACTACAAAATAAGATATCAAAAGCAAATAAAGTGTACATTGATACTTGAATATTAAATATATTTCTTAAACTCTTACTACATCGTTCTCAAGTTTAATTTTCTTGAAATATTTTGGCTCAACTGGAGAGAATGCAGGTTAAAATATTTATAAGTTCCAAAATAAGTAATTTCGATAGCTTGTAAATTATTCGTATTGAGAATAGATCGATTTGGGTCTTGAAAATCTAATAAAATCAATTGACATTTTGTATTGTTAGAGGCCTTGTTTGTTTTAAGATAACAGCATTTAAAAAATGAATTTAAAACGGGATATGTCCCATACTTATGATAAATAGAACTCAGTTGAAAGGACGGTAATACCCGTTATCTATAGTGAGCTGTTTTGGTCTGTTTCAATTTGATAACGTGTTTAAATGCCTTTATTAAAGAATAAGCAAACTTAAAATGCATTCAATAGGTTTAAAATATTTTTTACAAGATTACAGATTATTCAATGTTATCAGGCAATAAGGTTGATCGACCATTACTCATTCATGTGTTGAACAGGTTAGTCCACTTCAAGACACAAGAAAATGTGTTTAAAGTTTTCAATGTATAAAACCTAAAATAGAGAAGAGCAGATCCAAATAAAAACGTCAAAAATCGGCTATATTGAAATTGTTCTAGATTCGGTTTGATTGTTCCTGTTTATGCCTAAACAGAATCCGACATCTACAAATGTAACATGAAATGCTTAAATTGTGAATTTTGAAATATTCGCAAATGTGTTAATACGGCGATTATCATGGAGGTCTCTTCAATGTGACACGTTAGTGTCACCCCAAGAAAAGCGGCGTATTGTCTCCGACTTAACAATTGCGTGGGCCCAAAACGAGAAAAATATAAACATTAACAAACAAAAAAATTTAATAATTATAATGAAATATATGGATAACATTTTCATGTTAGGATTGCTCGAACCACCAAATTAGTAGCAAATAAATGGAAATAACTTACTTAAAGTGACTAAAATACAACGACAATGTAGTGCTGAATCAATAAAAAGGGAGACAAATTGTAACTTGTTAATCTTTTTAAAAACGTTTATTTTTGGTAACTTGTTACAATTTCCAAAAACATACTCAGTTGCTATGTACATGAAATATCTTTTGCACCTTTAGTTATTTTGGCAATTGCTCTGATTATTGTGAGTTAGTATTTTCTATGGAAGTCCAATTCTACTTTGTTTACATTTGCCTACCTTTACAATATATAACTGATGTTTAGCCTACTTTTCCGGATGTAAAACATCTAACATGGTCTGAAACGAGTATTTAAACATTGTTTTACACATGCTTGACATTTTTAAAAAAAATATCGATTTTGAGGCAAAATGTGCCTTTAATTAAAGCTATTAAAAAAGGAAAAAAATAAAACATTACGTTTATTATCGTTTAATATTGTTTCATCTCAGATAAATTTGTACAAATATCAAATAAAAAATTTCTTATGTTTCTGTCATGTAGCAAGAACATTAACTTTAACTGTTTAACTAGACTAGTATTGTTTGGTTGAATCGTAATCAATATATTTGCAAATGCGCTATATAGACAGAATTGAAATTATTTAAAACGCAAAAGGAATAAAAGAATAAATTAATGCATTAAATTTACAAGATTTGAGATAGCACTTCGATCTTGCTTAGGACCGTGTTTCCCCCCTTAATTTCACTTCCTAGTATAGATAGAAACTGAAATATGCATACCGTTTGTGCTATTGTTTGTAACGTCATATATTACAAATATATTAAATCAACGATCTAATCAATAATTGAACATGTCTTTAACAGAAAAAAAGTCATATGAAATACAAGCGTTTAATTGAGAGATTGTCAAAAACGCCTCAAGATAAAATGCCCCACAGGTGGCAATAAGATTATAAACGGTTACCTAATTTACATGCTGGGATAAAACGAAAAAAGAAAGATATTTAAAGTGATAGCGGCACAACCAAATAGTTTACCAATTGTTTTCATTCTTGTTACTAATAGAAAAACGTAGAAATATCACGAAGTTATACAATACTATACAAAAATATTATATTAAAAAAAAAACAATTATAAAGTATAAGAAAATATTGTTCTATTATATCGTAATTGTACACAAAACGCTTAAAGATTCTGTTCGTTGAAATAAAGTACATCTAACTGAAATTATAATCATCTATATCAGTTTTCTTAACACAATTTTTAAACATCTAATAATTAGTAACATTTATACAACAGGTTCCTACATACATATAGAGAAGTTTTAAATAACTCATTTGTTTCACGGTTAATTGTTATCTCCCTCCGTAAGTCGTCCGTCATTGTTCGTCGTGCGTCGTCAACAATTTCTTTAAACAACGTCTACTCTGATACCAATGATATTAACCAAACTTTAAAGGAATAATCCTTGGGTATTCCCATTTGGTCAAATGGTTCCAGTCAGGTGCATAATAGACAGGTCTAAGGGGCAAAAAAAACAAGTTTCAAAAATGCATCTCCTTTTCTTAATGTACAAGGCCCACAGCTGCAGGGACTTTGGACTCGTCCATGAGAGGACGATTTCCAGCTAGCATACAAAAGGGTTTATAGTTCTACTCAGATGATGCTCTTCTAATGAATATGGAAAACTACAATATAACAACATGTGCAGACTCAATCAAACCGAGTCTGTAATTTTCATTTAATTTTGCTATAATTTTTAACGCTTCTGATGGACCACTTTTTCCAGATATTATTACCTTACAACAGCATGTGTCGAGTGCTTACGGGCAGCCGTAAAATATTGCCCGGACTTCACTTCATTGTTGTTATATTTTTCTGGTCCTTCGTGATCATTGAGTCCAGTATTTTTTAGTGTTAATTGAGTCCCGCAAAGCCGGTGCTATAATGTGTTAGGGATGTTGCACTTTTTCATTATCTCTCATGTACAGACTCAATCAAACAGTGTCTGCAATTTGCATATAATTTTACTGTTTTTAATGTTTCCGATGGATCTCTTTTTCCAGATATCTGTACAATATCATTGTTTTAGAAAATAAAATAATTAAACAGAAAACAAACACACAATACGGGATGCAATTGTTTATTTGATATTATTTTTTTTCTTCATTTTACAGACGAGTGCAAGGGAAGAAGACGAGCCTGCCGATGAGTAAGAAATATTTTTAGGCTATAATCTTAATAAGTCTAAAATTGAGAGTATTCTGTAAAAATGCATAATTAGGAATGAAACAGATATAGACGCAGGAAATTGATATTTGTTTTATATTTAAATTGCAAAAGATCTAGTTGTCTAATTTATAACGTCAACTTCGTCAATCATTTTTGCCCTTCGTTATAAACAAGTCAGTTGAATGACATGATTTTTCCAGCCTTCTATTGAATTATGATACCAGATTGTTTCATGTATTATGGATAAGAGTAATATTTACCCAGTTTGTACTCTCTAAAGAGATTTCAAAATATGATGATCAAAGAAGACGTTCACAGACCGCAGCCATTTTAAGTTTCATTTTACTGATATTTTATACGGCTATCTCAAAACTGGTTTCTTTATGTGAAGTAAAATGGAATGTAACATTTTTGAGTTTGTTCACAATATGCGTTTAGGGTAGAGACGGTGTGGGACAGATTTAAAGAGACAGAAGGTGACAAATTACCACCCGATGACCATGTCTTCTGGAATAATGTTTACCTTGCTACCAAACTTTTTTTCTCTGGCTTTCTCTTTATGGTAGTGCTGTGTTCTGCAGTTGTGTCAAAAGGAGTTTTACTTATTTTGACATGGAATATATTCACACCTGCTGGTAATACATCATCTGATTTAAAGACGTTTGATAAACTTTTCCACTACAACATAACAGGTAAATGTCGTATTTGTGTTTCATTCCAATTGACTTTTAAACGAAAATGCACAGAAGAAACTTTCTAAGATTTAACCAAATTTGAAATCCACTTAACTATTTCATGAGCTGTGATTTCTGCTTGTTCTATAGGTTATAAAAGTAAAACATATACTAAGTTCGCTTTGAATCAAGTATATGTTTTACTTATATAACCTTTTCATATTATAGTTAATATTTGCATACAATTAAAAATGAATGTATTACTAAGTGTAGCATACTATAACACAATTTGATAAGCAAAATTGTGTTATCTTTCTTGCCTGAATTGATTTCATTAACAATTGACTTTTGTTTCAGCGAACCAAACCACTACTGGCAATGACTCTGTGACCAATATATATTACATTTGGGCGTTGTTTATTATTGTTGTGACACCAAACCTTTTCACAGTACTATTCTGCGTATGGAGAGTAATATTTAGAAAGTCAGGAAGCCTACGTTTTAAAACACTTCTAGTGGTAGGAAAACCCGTTTCATATTTCTAATTTATTCCCGACAACACATTTAACTAACTGTTCTTTGATTCGTTTTATTTTTATTTTCTCATTACAAACAGCCAATGAGAAGCAAACAAATAAATATGTTGATTTATTAACAACATATTTTAACAGAATAACAAAACTAAGACAACTCATATTACCCCCCCCCCTTTATAAACGAAAAAAAAACGCGTGCATTTTTATAACAATAACATGATAAAAATAAAATGTTTTACTTCATAAAATACAAAGGAAAATTGTATTTCAAGAACCTATCGTACACACATAAGATCAACGATTGAAAAATAAAACATCATGATGAATTTTACAAACTTGGATATTTTGCTTTAAGTGTGCGTGCGTGCATGCTTTCTTCTTCTCTCAAATTATGTTTGCTTGCTTTCCAAATATGAAACAATATACAGTCTAATGATGAAAGATTAGTCCCATTGGCTGTTCATACATTGTTTTTCTTTTCTTTTAAATAGTAGGCAGTTTGTATTGTCATTCATTGCATAATCTCACAGATGTTTGATTATTTCAGGCTCTTTTACCTGCGACACTCCACTCAATTGGGCTCAGTGTCCTCGTGTTTTACGTGCTTCCTTCCCTTGACCCAATTTCTGGATTATGGTACAGTTGTAGCGTGTCGTTAATACCATCAATTGTAAAGTTTGCCTTTGGAATTAGGAAGCTGTGCAAGCAAAAAGGTGGAGTTAATGGATTAAATTACTTTATAGAACAAACAAATTTAAAACTATAAATAACAAACATTAACCAAATATTTCGTAGCAAACTGTTTTAAAACAAAAGTTATTTCGTTTTCAGTTAAAGATATATATTTCTCATGTACTAACATTTTCTTCATGAAGTTTGTATATGCTTAATTACCTTTTCAATTTATTAGACAAAAATTTAATACAATTAAAACGGAATTAAATTTTGAATAACTTTGCAGATTCAACTGAAACTGAATCAAGGTTTCCCTGGTATTTCATTGTAAGAATAATGGCGCTTTTGTTAAGCATAGTGTCAATTGTTTTTTGGGGTGTTTACATAGCATCATCATCATCAACACCAGCAGTTCGAGCGACTCTAGTTGTGTTATCAATCTTATCGCCAATTTTCGTGTCAGTAAGTTGGATGGAAAACTTTCTACCAAGCGTAAGTATATATCTTTTACTGTCTTGCTAAACTATGGTAAAGATTTACCACAAACTCGTGACGCATTTTCGAGTTCCTGATAAAAAATAGTATCGCACGACCGTGCATATATTTTGAGAGACATGCGTTGTGGAACACAACTATGGGGTAAAAAGCGCTACATGATAAAAATGATTCATCTTGACTGCAACAGTTCTTCGGTAGGGTACTATGTGATATATAAAATATCATATACTTGCAGCATCATTACTAATTGTATTGAATTCGTTTAATAAGATACGAGGTTCACATAATATTGTTTAATTCAGCTCGTTCAATACATTCAGTTCTGGAATAACTCTAATTCAATACCCTCTTTATGAAGCATTTGCATACACTTGCTACCTTTGAAACAGTTTTTGCGCGCAACACAGTTAGTTGTGAAGCAAGGTGTGCACGATCCGATTTTTCTGTGAAGTTATGTTACGTAAGAAAACCTCTACTTGTTCCTTGCAAAACATGATATGATCTTATTATATAAAATATTAAATGATTTAAACAATTTTAGTGTTCATTGTTTTAAAGGTTACTTTAAGTTCCACTATCATTCAACATTTTTTTTAAAAAACATACACGCACGTACGCACGAAAAAGCAACAAACAACGGCGAAATACTTTCTAAAAACGTTCATTTTATAATATTGTTATTATTTTATTGTTACAAATAATTTATGTCACTTTGTTTGTCTTTGAAGAATTATGTCGATTAATTAAAGAATTATGTCGATTAATTATTAATTTCTCCTAAATACCCCTTTTCAACTAAAAACGAATCAAAATTAACCTCTGTAGAAATAGCTAGATAGATGCTAAGCAAATTGCTGATGAAAATATTTTTTTATTTCATCAATTAACTGATTGGAAAAGGAAGAACATAAATGAAAGTAGAACTATCTATTGTATTAAACTATATTTAACTTAAATCAGTGTAATATTCACTAAAATGAGGTAAGATAATAGCAGTTTTACGTAAAATGACTGCACTAACGTTAAACATTTAAGTCCTAGCCCCAAGTGACATTTTTAATTCAATTCTTTAATTTTAGTAAGTGTCTCTAAAATTTCATAAAATATTTAGATTTTGAACTTTAAGGATATATCTGTTTCAGTTGCAGAAAGAACAAGAAGTAGGAAACGGTCATAGGAAAATTCAAGTGATACAAGTTATGAATGGAAACAACAACAATAAAGTTAAGGGTAATGAAAGAAACAACAACGAAAACGATGACAGTAAAAAACAAATATTATACCCGAACAGGATTTATGAGTACAAGCACACTTTATTTTGCAGTCGCTTTAAAATGCATGCAGTCGTCAACACATGGAAAATATTTATTACCTTTGTGATGGTTATTGTTATACACGGGACGCCATGTGACAACTGTTTGGACGCCTTATTTGGAAATTTAGACCAACCTGCAAAACAAATGTCTGTGATCATAGACGATAACTGGTTGCTGAACTTGGACCTTTGCAACACTGCTACACCATTTATTGTCGCAGTTGTTGGAATATCAACTAGCCTCTTTTGCCAAAGGTACTTGCTATATGTATGTAGGTACTTGTTATATGTATGTTGAACAGGTACTTTCATTCGCAGCAATTTTAAAAATATATTTGTATTAAATGGATTAAATATCTTAAAATGATTTTAATTACATTTGAAATTAAATTGTCATTATATATGTTGTTTTGTATATTCATTAATTTGTTGTAATTGTTTTGTATATTTATTAATTCATTTTATTAAATACCTCTAGTCAGTTTTTGTATTTACTCGATGATATGATTAATAAATGTGTAGTATATACTCAAGAAATTGATTTAATAAAAATTATGTTCAAATAAGTATTTATCTTTGAATTATTTCAGACTAAGTGTCGCAGCAATAAAAGTTCTAGCACAGATTCAAGGGTTCTCAGTTCCTATTTGTCTAGTAACACCTGTTACATTTCTGTTGATAGTGGCAGTATCTTCTCAGGTATGCAAGTGATTAATGTATCCGCTTATCTAGAATGTTGCTATAAATTTGCCCTTGTCCGTCTGTCCGTCCGTCAAATGTCTGATTGTCCTGCTGTTAAGCTGACTTGCTGTATATTATGTGGGTATGTACAGAAAAATAAACAGTGGAATACCGGAGCATCAGTATCCTAGGGACACATTTCTACTTTTCCATACTAGTATCATTAAAGAAAGAGAACATTTTGTTTTGACACTTTATTATTCCCCGCCGAAAGGCGTTGGGGATATAGAAATAGTCTCCGTCCGTTTGTCCTTCCGTCCGTCCGTCCGTCCATCCATCCGAGCAAACATTTTTGTATTTAGGGGCTATATAACAGTAAAGAGAACAAAAGAGAACGATAGGTTCATTCCGTGATCAAAGGGTTTATAGGCTAGTAGCCCTTAAGAAAACAAAGAAAATAGCCCCTAAACCCAAATTGTTGGAACGTCCGTCCGTCCATATTTTCGTCCGACATTTTTGTCCGGAGCATATCTCAAAAAGTATTTGAGGTATCAAATTGAAACTTCATAGATAGATAGATCATATTGAGAAGGAGTGCAGTGCACAAGAATGATAACTCTATCCTGCATAATTTTTCAAATATTGCCCTTTGTTACTTTTCAAACTTAGTTTTTGTCAAGAGCATAACTCAAAAAGCCTTTGAGATATCAACATTAAACTTTATAGGTGGATAGTGGATAGATCTTACTCAGGAAGTGTGCAGTGCACAACAATGATAACTCTACCCTTCATATTTTTTTAGTTATTGCCCTTTGTTATTTTTCATACTTAATTTTTCAACTTAGTGGAGCATAACTCAAAAAGTCAAAAATGTCAACATAAAACTTCAAAGGTGGATAGCTCTTATTGAGGAAGAATGTTGTGCATAAGAATGATAACTCTACCCATTATAATTTGAGTGATTGCCCTTTTTATTTTTCATACTTTTTGTCCTGAGCTTATCTCAAAAAGTGTTAAAGGTATCAACTTGAAACTTCATAGGTGGGTAGATCTCCTTGAGGAGGAGTGCAATGCACAAGAATGATGACCTACCCTGCATTATTTTTCAGTTATTGCCTTTTGTTATTTTGAGCCATCAGTATTGACATAGGTTTCAAATTTGTAATCACTTCAGCCATCAGTTTTCATTACCAAAAAAACCTCTTTAGATTTAAGTATTCTGCTCTACTACATATACATTCTAACAATGAGCAAACACATTCGGCGGGGGATGGCCATGCTAACATGGCTCTTGTTCATATTTGTGATGGCGGTCCTCTGAACGTGTGTGATATTGGTGAAAACCGCAATCTAAATTTATGTATCTAAATTAAAAAAAAAAAACGTCAATTTTGAAGACGAGTTAGCAAAAATATTAGATTTACTGCAGAACAAATTCTGTAAATAATGACGATTAATTCACTTAAAGCTGACCAACAGTAAACTACTCTTTTTAACTAGATTTTAATTCTTATTTTCTGAAAGAAATGAAATTCATGTACATTAACAATTTATTTGTTTTTTAATTATCTAGCTGCATTCGTCTTATATTCCTTTTTTGTTGATATTTTTATATTTTTATTGTCACGCATTTATATTTTCTATCCAAATCAATGTAGTTGAACAATGGAGACCATATATGCCAATTTCCATTTCCGTGGTTTGAAGGTAACAAGCCAATCAGCAATCTCGCATCAATGATAATTGCTTCACTCACAGGATACTTGGGTCTTATACTTACAGCGGGACATATATGGACAATGGAAACGGAAAGGATGAGTAAAGAAAACATGTATGTATCTTATGTTTCATATAACTTGTATGTGTGATGGTGATAGAGACGTATTATTGACTAATATCGATCAATTGATAAAAATATTAGCATTTAACAGAAGTAAATCTATAGACACAACCGAAATATAGGTAATTTTCAAACAAATGAGTATTTGTAGAATTATAATGATGCATACTGTTTTGAAATATGTAACGCAAAATCTTTCGTCCGATGTTGAGATCATTAAATCGTTAATGTAACAAAGAAATATCTGAAGTGTTTTATAATCTGTTTGCCATTGATTGTGTGTGCAACACAGTTCAAGTCGAAATGCTTACATATATGTTTTGTTATTTCAGGATATTTTATGCACCTTCATATTGTGGAGCACTTTTGGAGCAGTCGTTAATGCTAAACAAATGCAAGGAGAACAACGTTAGTCTGTTCATATTGCTTTGTTTCTCTTTATGATGAATGATGATGATGATGATAATGATTATAATAATTATTAATATTACTTTTATTATTATCATCATCATCATCATCATAATTATTATTATTATAATTATTATTATTATTATTATTATTATTATTTTATATATTTATTAATATTGTCCTATATGGGGTTTCTCTTATGTATACATGTATCAAGGTTTGAGAAGTATCAAAATGCCATATAAATAAAAGTATTATTTCCCCTTTTTTCAGAGATAACATTTTATAAAAGAATAACGTACTTATGATTGCATAATATTACTTTGAAATAATCGTTACATATACTTTCACATACAAGGGTCCAATAGAACAATTATATCCCATTGCGTAAGTTTACACTTAAATACTAGGTTCTTCTAACATCTCAAAAAAATTTGCAAATAATTAAGTTTCAGACAACGCCTGTTTCAAAGACAAACGATACGACTGATAATGACTCTCAATCACTCCCTAGAGTAGCGACCGGCATACGTGCTAATAGTAATGGAAACACAGGAAAAGGTAGCAAGGATAATACAAATAAACTACTAGAAGGTTTTCCAATGATATATTTTTGCGCTACTATGTGGCATGAGACGGAAGTTGAGATGGTACAGTTATTCAAGTCCCTGTACAGGTAATATTTTATTACACTAAATTAATCATATTAATATGATTGTTGTTTTACAAAAATACTTTTGTTTTGTTTCTATAATGCCAAATCCAGTTATTTTCTGACATCTTTATCTAATTTAGGCATTTCCTTTTATTGGTAGTTCTTCACGTTAGTTTGTTAGTTCAATCATTTTCTTAAAAGTTATAATAGTTGGAACACGATCCTTAAATAATTTCAATTGCCAATGGAATTTCTAATGAAAAAATAAAAGTATTCACGATTGAAAAGTTAGCTAATCTGTGCAAATGCACACACAGTTGCGACTTCATGCCGATAAAGCCATGATCTTAAAAAGTATTGGATGGGGCCGATCAAACACGATCAAAATTTGGCAAAATATGGTCATCATTCCGACCGAAATACAATGCTACCACGTCCAACGCACTGTTGACCCGCTTCTATTACAATGTCAAGCAGACCTTTGCCGACCAACAGCGGCGTTTACTGCGTTTAACTAACGCTGCATGTACTTCGATATTCAAGCTCATACATGTACTATGACGCTATGTAGACCTAGAGGACAGTACGGTGGTGCCGATTATTTTACGCTTGTAGTGCACTTTTAATACGAATTTGGCAATGATGCGGGATTCAAACATTATTTGCCACTTTTTCTCCACATTGTAAACGCAAACGGGCGTATTGATCCTGATTTGATTTATCTTGCGTTACTTCAGCAAGAACAAATGTTGGACCGTTAATAGGCGGAGGCGCAGAAAAAATCCAAGAAGATTCCGAGTACCGCTATGGCTATTTGCAGATAGGAGGCTCCAGATTGGACGCTATGGACACTGCTGTGAGAACTCTAAATGAAATACACCAATTTCTTATTGTTGTGGGAACGTTTTAGGAGCGTTATTGATATGTACCTGACTGCACTACGCCCTTTAATGTTTTTCTACAATCACGAAGATCTCTCCACAATGTATTCACGCTGATATGCTGTACTACGCTGTTGCTGTGGTGTTTCTACTTCCTAGATGATATCTTCACGGTGCTTTCACACAGCTTGTACAATTACGGTGCTTCTACTACGATATTTTATCGACATTATCGCGATTCCTTTATAGCCAAGATCCCACTAAACATGTTCGAAATACGTGTGGCGAGTGCGTAGAGTGTCTCGATCATAAATACCTTACCGCGATCATACTGCGCACATGGAGACTCCACTACATTTCTCCTGCGATTTGTCACGATCGGCCACGTTTTTTGCCACTCTTTGATCAAGAAGAATCGGCGTCAATGTGTAAATGGGTGGTACTTAAAAATAGGATTAATTACTTTCAATCATGGAGCTATAAAATGAAACACAAATATAGTAAAATGTCAAATTATTTATTTTTTACCTTTTCTCTAATCATTTACATTATGATGGTAATAATGTTATTTAAATGTGTGTATTAGAAATTTAAGAATGGTTTATTTTCCACAGGATGGACATTGATCAATGTGTACAAAGAATTCGCAAGGAGGATTCACAGAGTAATCAAGACTACTACAACTTTGAAGGTAGAAATTAACATGAAATTACTGATAAAGCATATAAACAGCAAATAAAATTATAGAGGGTACTGAATGAGTGTTAGTTGCAAAAGTTACCTCTTCCTTAACTTCGGTGTTGTTATATTTTTCTAGTCCTTCGGGATCATTGATTCCAACACCATTTAGTGTTGGGAATTAAGTACCGCTCAGCCGATGCTAGGGGGTGTGAGGGATGTTGCACTTATTCATTATCTCTTATGTACAGACTCAATCAAACCGAGGCTTGGGATTAATTTGTTTCCTGGTTTTGATACTAAAGTTATTGAATAAGTTCGATGAAATGACGTTATACGAGCCTCTGGCGAAGATAATATTGTTTGATCAACGTGTTTAATCAATTTAGTATTGAATCTACACGAATATAATATTCTATTTACAACATGTCTAATGTAAGAACAGTAAACTGTTTAAAGAGTCCAATTTCATTGACGCGCTTATACGAGTAATGTTACGTTAACATTACCTCGGTTTTACGCTATTATTGTATATAACAAAAATGACGTCAAGTGTAATTACACTAATAAATATGTTTTATTAAATGACTTTATTATACTCCTGCGTCGCGGTTAATGTGATAAATAATCTTATATAAGTGTCATAAGTGTCGCTGAAATATTTTCTTCCAGTGTTATTTATATCAATGATCTATAGTGTTTTTTTATTTGTATTGACAGTCAAATTTTTTAAAATAAGTCCAAGAACAAGTCCAACATCACCCAAGTCCTAGTATATGATAAACGAAATGACAAAGGATTTCAGATTATCAAAAGGTCGGGAGTGTTTCATTTATTTCTCTTGACCCTACTGTTCAACCATAGATTACAATCATAGCATTTATTTTTTTATTTTAGTACATATTTTCTTCGATGACGCATTCGTAGAAGGGAAGCAGATGATGGCAAACCAATACGTACACACGTTTATTAAAGCCTTATACGATACTGCTAAGTAAGTTTTTATAATTGATTTGTATATCAATAGTATACTATATTTTTTGACATGTTATTTGTTATTTTTCATGTCTTTTACAACTATCATTTACATGTATATAATTCGATAATTATTTCGTACATCAAAGGTCGCTCATTCGTATTACTTCAGCTGTAGGAAATAAAAAATGTAGGTTTTCGTAGGCTCGAAAAAGTGTATAATGTCATATAAATAGGATGCGTGTAAGATTTGAGTACTCCAACTCGGTAGCTCTGTTTAAAGTGGCATTATACCATCTAGGGTATGTAGTAAGAGAACACATGGGACTCAAATCATGTTTCCATTTCGTCTTATTCCTCACAATTTTATAACGTCTTTTGCATGAACGATCAATAACTCGCATGGTTCAAGGAAATTTCTTCAAATATCCCTGTTTGTCAACTGCTTAATTACCATTATCACTGTCAATCTTATGAAAAATACAGTCAATTCAGACAGCTTTGTAAACTTGAAATTGAAAATTGAGAACGCGAGCATAATATCACTTTAAACAAGTCTTTTGTATCGTAAACATTTTAGCTGTTAAACGATTTCTATTCCAAAATATCTTCTTTCAATTGCTTTTAAAAAAAAATTCATTATTAAGGGATACGTATCCAGACCAGATACCATCTATGAAGGATCCACGACGGAGAATTACACCTTACGGGGGACGTCTCATATGGACTTTGCCTGGTGGAAATCGGCTAGTTGCGCATCTGAAGGATAAGTACAAAATTAGAAGAAAAAAGCGATGGAGCCAGGTTTGTTCTTATTTTATCTTTTAGTTTGTCAGAAAAAAAAACTCTATATTGAAATTCTTAAATATAAAGAACCTGTATTCATTCTATTTTTACGTATTAAGAAATAAAACATAACTTATTGTGTTAAAACTGTGGATTGCATGTTTGGTAATTATAATTTTAACTGACTAAAATAGGATTCGAGATAAATGTAATATCTATAATAAAATATGCAAAAGGACTCGGTAGATTTTTATTACGTGTCATGAACATATTCATTCAAACCGTACATTTTCCGCTTCAATTTTCTCAGAGGGGTCTCCCCTCTCCAATGTTTAAACATGTTGTGTCAAATATTTAGATCGATCAACGTTTATTTTGCTATTTCAGGTGATGTATATGTACTATTTCCTTTCACATAAACTAAGTGCTGTTGAAAGAGACAAAAATAAGCAATTAGAGATAGCGAAGAACATTTTCATACTCGCTCTGGACGGTGACGTTGACTTCAGACCGGAAGCTGTCAAACTGTTGATTGATAGAATGAAAAGGAATGAGCAAACAGGCGCTGCTTGCGGAAGGATACATCCAATAGGAGATGGTAAGTTGATTTTTTTTAGAAACGTAAATATTTGATGATAGGGTTTCTTTTATTTCAAAAAAATAAAACATTGGAATATCGCTTTTCATAATATGTGAAATAAGTTAAAAGATAAATCAGAATGCATTCTAAGAAATTCTCAAATGTAAACGTATTTCGGCATTAGTTTTATCTTTTTTGTAATTATCAACATTTACTTTTTAAAGCTTTTTGCCTCCTGATGATAAAAATTATTTCATGGAAATCTAACTTATGAGAAATGTACTTAAATATTCCGAAACCAAAAAAAAAGGATTTTAAGATTTAAGTCATGATTTACTTGTAATCTGAGATTAATGACTGATTTTGCATTTTAATCATCTTATTTCTTCTGCGTGACAAAAGCAGAAAGGTCTATGTTTTGCAATCTTTTTTTTTTGACAGTTTTTTGGTTATGTCCGTAGATTGTAAGCGTAAGTGCACTTAATAATATTTTACTTTTAAGTACGTTTTCAATATTTTCATAAGAGAAAAACATGAATCTGCAGACTGCTACTTTAATATCGTTGCAGGACCTATGGTATGGTATCAGAAGTTTGAGTATGCAATAAGTCACTGGTTGGTCAAAGCTACAGAGCACGTGACTGGTTGCGTTCTTTGTAGCCCTGGTTGCTTTAGTTTATTCAGAGGGTCAGCATTGATGGAGGAAAACGTAATGAAAAGATACACCACCATGCCAACCGAAGCTCGCCATCATATACAATACGATCAAGGTAAGCTTTACTGTAAAAATAATCACCAAGAATTAATTATCTCAGCTGTAAATTATATTACTTTATTCTTTCAACTTGATTGATGTTAAATATGATTTTAAGCATATATTGTGTGACAACGTTTTCTAGGCACGAATGAATTTAAAACCATTTTGCGTTTTGTCAATATTTCTAAATTACAAATCCTTTCACTTTTGATATCAAAGATAACATATATAGTATCAATCTGGTAATATAGTATACCACGTTATACATCTTATACAAAGTGTCAATGTTGTCTTGGTCATTTGGATAGGCGAAGACAGATGGTTATGTACACTCCTTCTGAAGCAAGGCAAAAAGGTCGACTATTGCGCTGGATCAGATGCTTTCACGTTTGCACCTGAGGGTACTTTTCTTATTCACATTTATACTAAAGGTCTATATTGAAAATATTATAATTTAGTTTAGATCCGTATTCTCAAGACCCTTAATTTAATCTACACATAGTCTACTGTTTTTATTTTTCTTTTAATTTGCATATTGTAAAAAGGGCATTCATTTAGGTTGTTCGAACAAAACAACTAAAATATGATCAAACAGTTGAAAATAGTAAATATATTTATTTCATCAATAGGTTTCAAAGAATTTTACAATCAGAGGCGCCGTTGGACACCTTCTACGATGGCAAACATTTTAGATTTATTGTCGGACTGGAGAGTTATTACGAGGAACAACGATAACGTCTCTATACCGTACATTTGTCTGCAGTTGTCCTGGTTTGTGTCGTCAATATTGACCCCTGGCGTTCTCTTACTGATGATTATCGGGGCGACGAATCTTGCCTATCCTCAGTTATCACTACATGCGGCCTTGCTGATTAACTTACTACCCGTTGTCTTTTTTGTACTTGTTTGCTTCTTTGCCAAAACTGAACACCAGGTACCGTCCTAGTTTACGCAACTTAAAGATATACTATGCTCTTCCTTGTGTAAAATATTTTAATTACAGACATTTATTGAAATCTAAAAACATTCTTAGTGAATATGTTTTAATTTGAATAAAAATATGAATATACTATGTATGGGAAGCTGCGTTCCCTATTTCAGGTCAACTTATATTGATCTCTTTTTATAAAACTACCAATTTTTTTTATAAAACTACATTTTCAGATTGTGACCACCTGTAGTGTGTAGAGTTTTAAACATAACATATCCACTTTGTGAGAGGTCAAAACATGTTAATTTTATAAACACAAAGAGACTGTGTAGCAATTATCAATATATATTTAAATATCAAAATTGAGCATAGTATATCTTTAATTCTCTAATCAAATCTTATTTATAAGATTATGAGCTAATTATGTTGTGACTTTTAATTATCTCCTATATTTTCGTAAACAGATATACATTTAATTGAACCTGGGTAAAAGATAATATATGAGTGTATATAATATTAATATTTATTAACAAAATAAACGATTGAAAAATTTGTATTATTTAGCATGCGAAGTAAAATACGTCATAGTTTAAGGACATAAATTTATTTCTATTATTACATAAGAAATCTTCTTTTGGAAAAAAGAACAATTCGTTGAATTTGAATTAAGAAGCGTTTCTTTTATTGTTTTTTTTTTTTTTTTTTTGGTTGGAAAAAAAAAAACAATTCGTTTGAATTTGAATTAAGAAGCGTTTCTTTTATTTTTTTTTTTTTTTTTTTTTTTTTGTTATTTGTTGTTTTTGTTTAGGGGAGTTTTATTTTCTTAATTTTATGATTTCGTGACATTAATTGAAATGAATTCATGTTTCCTATAACCATCATACAACGCCAATTATATAGCTATCCAGTAATATATAAGTGTGTCAAATAAATTAAAAAAAAAACATCAGTGTCAAGTGTTCTCATCATATGCATTCAAAAGTATTACACAATTTGATAATCATGTCCACTTTATTCTCAAGCTTTAAACATAGACATACACTTTTCAGCTAAATGTAGCAGCCGCACTGTCCATTATTTACTCACTTATCATGATGATAGTTCTTGTTGGTTTGATTAGAGAGGCTGTAGAAGATGGATTTTGCTCAGTCATAACCTGGTTTCTTCTTATTGTGTCCGGTATATTTGTACTGTCAGGATTAACACACCCAAAGGTAGTTATCCCATTTTCCTTTAACATGCAACTAGTTATTTAAGAAACATTACATTGTTTCATGATAAAAAACATTTCTTTTGAGATTGTGCCTTTCCAAGTCGGTATTACATGTTTTTTAAAAATATTGTTTTGTATGTATGAATAATTTATTACTTGTAAATAATAGAATATATTTAGAAGTTAAGAACAGAACTGGGAAACAAAGCAGTAATTATAAAAAACGTTTCATATTGAATGTCTCTAAATTAATGGTTTCATAAATATATTACTGGCTATTTCAGGAAACAAAGTGTCTCATCCATGGCTTTTTATTTTTCATTGCCATCCCTTCCATGTCAATGCTTCTTATGTTGTATTCGGTTATAAATCTGAACAACGTTTCCTGGGGAACCCGCGAGGCTCCTAAATCAAAGCAAGGTAACGAAATAGAAACCTTTAACGAATAGATTTATGCTAAAGCATGTTCACTGAAATGTTTCTCTTTCCAAAAACTACTGGTACTTTAACGAGTGTATAAGTATTTGTTTGTTTTGTTTGGTTTATGACTCAGAAACAGTAGAGATGGTTTTGGATAACCTCGGGTGTTACAAACGTAAAGCAACACCAAGGATCAAACTCATTAAAAAAGCTAAAAGATGCATAAACTCAAGTGATTCGAACCTATTTGGTGGCATCTTACGATCGCGCTGGGATAAACGGTGGCTGTCATCTTGATGCATAGTCCCTGAAAGGCAACCTCTCAGCCAAAATGGGGACATGTGAACAGTTAAAGGCTGTCAAACAAAAGCTTATCTTTACTGTTACAGTAGTGTTATTAATTGTTACATTGTTAACTGAAATATAGTCACATGAAGTGTTATTTGCAGCACAATCAGCACCACGTTTGTTTTTTAGTAATGATCTTGTATTACACAAAATTAAATTCATAACTATTTTTTAAGCCATTCAATGCTTTGTTTTCAAAAGGTGATGGGAAAGAAGATAGCAATAGTGTGAGGGACGTTCAGAGTTTGGTGGATAGAATGTAATCTTATAATATTTTTCTTACATCGCTGGTCACAGCTTCGAACCAATGTTATGACACAATATCCTATACTTATCACATACATGTTTAAATAACACTTTAAAATATCTAGACTAAATAGGTCAATAAATGAAGAACCTCGAGTTAAAGCCCGGGTCATATAACATTCAATGGTTTAATATCAGCCACCTAAGGGAAATTGATAAAGAAAACAACAGGAATTGGTAAATTAGAAGCATATATAAATTACTGATAAAGAAATATAACAATAACAATTTTACAATTATATTAGTAAGTTTTAACTCATTGTGAATATCTGTATCGTTTAGAACCTCACAATGAAAGACATATGTATTTGTTTTACGAGATCATTGTCATTTGCTTGCCAGTCTAAGCTGTAGCTGCTGTCAACCTCAAGTCTTGCAAAGGGATAATAAAGTAGCTGTCCAGTTAGAACAAATAAAAACCGAATTAAACAAGTTAGAGGCTGGAACACTGCATGCAGATGATAGCCAATCAGATGATACTGGAGAAAAACATTCTGACACAGCAACAAGTATGCATTATATTTGCTGTAAAGTGTTTTATGTTAATATATTTTAAGAGGAGGAGGATTAAAAAGTTAATTAATATGTTATCTGATCTGCGAAGGGTGGTTATGAATAATATCTTCCTCCTCAAATGTTTTGCTTACACGTTTTATACAGATATTCTTATCTAAAGTCATTTAGTGTTAACATGTTTCGTGTTTTTCAATTGTTACGATAAATATAAATATTGATAATAATTATATAGAATTCCAATAATAAAGTATTCGAAATAAAATCGAAAGTTACACAAAGAATTGCCTCGCTGCTTATACAACCAGTTGATTAATCGTCATCAATATCTTTTGAATATAATGTTTATTCAGATATAGCTCCGCCAGCTACGGTACCAGCTGAACCATATTCAAAATATCTGAATTTTGATCCGGAATCGTCAAGGAAAATCAAGTATCTTGCATTACGCGAGGAAAAATTTTGGAAGTGGCTTATTGAAAAATATCTATATCCGGGTGAAAAAGCTAATGGCAATGCTGAAGAGGAGGAAAAGCGTTTGAAAGAACAGGAAAAGGTTAAAGAAGAATTGAAGGAATTAAGGTTAATACATGTGTATACACTTATCTGGTAAACATAGCAAATAGTAAATGAGTTCACAACTTTATTACAGTAACTGTTTAGCTATCAGGCATCTTTTCGTTTTAACGATTAATTCCTCGTTTAGTCAATGGATATAATTTTTTTCACTGTTTATCTCATTTATAGACATTGCAAAATTACAAACCACTGTGTTCAATCCAATTTTTCAATCATTTTCATTACAGTGTTAAATGAAACGATTTTTTATTCCTAGGAACAAAGCAAGTTTAGCTTACCTCCTAATCAACGCACTGTTCATCACAGTTATATATTTCCTGCAACAATCAAACGTGGACACAGGCGGAGGGTTATCGGTGCACATTGAATGTGGGAGCGGGAATGGTTTGGTGCTTGAACCGATAAGTTTGGCATTCACTGCTGTCGCTGGAATACTTCTAGTAAACTTTTTTTTTCATTACCGAAACATATATCGCGTTCTTCGTAATAATTTTACCAACTTAAATTGGATAATACCAACCACAGAAGAGACACACTCAATCCAGTACGTGTGCTATTTAAGCGTTATGTAAAATGAAAAATTTATTTAAATACTTCAATGTGCTATCGTTTTTTATTATGAATAATGAAACATTTTCAAAGTTTTAAACTTTAAAATTAACCCATAAACAGCAGAGCAACAAAAGCTTTCATTTTGATTTAAAGATTCAATCATGTGCTACTATATATATGAATGTTCGTTTCAGGCAATTCAGTTTTTGTGTATGTTAATACATAGGTCAAAAACGTTTCTGCAAATCAATTCGATAACTGAAATAAAGCGAGATGATGTGGATGTCAACCAACTTTTCAATGATGCCGTAAATGACGTAATTAATGTAAGTTCTAGTGGAGTTTGATTTTTTTTATATTTGCTATAAACTGAAGGGAACACACACAAAGTCAATATAAAGTGCATAATGTTAACAAGTTTGACAATGAATCAAATAAAATACTGATATATTGTAAGGGAGAAGCTGTGCCCCTATGATAATGAACATTAATAGTGACCCAATCTAATTTACTTGTTTGTTAGTTCTTTTGATCATTTTATGGAATAACTCTTTTAATCTTTTAATGATAATTTAAATTTGTTAATGTCAACAAATGTTCCGTATTTCATTAAACGTAAAGTGTCTCATTTTTTTCAACTATTTTTGTAGTATTCTCAGTACGAGATTCTTGTTGTATGTTTCTCTTGTTTTCTTGTCTTATATACGTGTTTTATTCTTTTATATATTAGTACGCAATCATTTTTATCTTTCTTTTTCAAGGAGAATCCGGAGAAAGAAAACACTGAGACTGTTATCGAAGAAAAGGAGAAACCAAAAGATTTTCTCAAAAACTTCATAGCGAAAAATGTCATGTAAATATAATTAACGTATCGTTACCTTAGTGCAAAACAAGCCTTAGCGGATTGTAGGATTTTAAAGTACAACATCAATTAAAACTTATTCAAATCGAGCAAATCTTAATGCGTGTAAGCTACTATTTTTTGTAGGAAAGGACATGTTTTGTTTTGTAATTCTTGCTGCACAGACCTCCCACGATGACAGGTGACAATAATATGTTTAATTTAATGTTTGAAATCCAGAACATGTAAACAAAATAGTAATATTGTGTAAGGCGGATGTTGAAAAACTCTTGAGGAGCCCAAAATTGCGACATGTTTCAGTCCCAAACTAATAAGTTAATGGTAATAGACTAAACCGTTTTGAAAAGTGGAGAAATTTCCGTCACTACACATAAAGAAAAACAAATTTCAGCATAAGACGAGAATTCAATAAAGGCTTGAGCTTTATATAGGTTGCTCAGTTATTTTATTCATTCATTGACAAGGAAATGATAAATTCCTAAATGCTACATCCATGCTATCCGCGGCCGAACCTTTTAGTCTACCTCTTAAACAATCTCCTCAATTTGCCAATGCCAACAAATATAGGATTTACAAATATCAAAGTATAATAGTATGTAAATTTGGCAAGGGATCCTTTTGGAGGAAAACCTGATGATTAAAAAATGTAGAGTTATGGTTTGTGTGCAATTGTTGTATTGCTTTGAAAACTGTTTATCATATCGTACAACTAAATACTACCGTCTGTTGAATTCTTAATGTGTTATCTCCTACTAAATTATTTATCTATTGTAAGAAATGTTTTCATTACTACACTAATTCGACGGTATAATATCTGTATATACTGGTGTAACTAAGAGGCAATCTTGCTCTTGCCTTTAAGAAATTTTAAATGGACATGTAATTCAATATTGGATAAATAAACAAGATAGTCTTACTACCTGGTTTTGATTAGTTTATGCATTTATATCTCGTAGATTTACTTTTTTTGATAAATTAAAGAACAATCTGCATTCAAAGAAATAGTTGCCTTATAAAGGGAACTCCACTCCGGTTCATAAGTATGGAAACAGAAACATCGGATATCTTGCATACATCAACAAGGCTTTATTTCCGAAAATATGCAAAAGTTTTCATAAAAATCGAAAATTAATTAGCCCCCAATTTTTGGGTTTAAAAAGTCATAATTTATTTTTTTAAAATTTTTACCATTTATTCTAAATTTAAAATTTTCTGAAAAACAAGTGACGAAAATTTAAATTTTTCATTTAAATTAATTTTGCAGACGAACATCAAATAATACATAAATGTCGAACAAAATATGTTTAGTTTTTTCATGCAAAAATCCTCAGCGGAGTCCTTTTCATACGTTATTATCATGTTTATTAGTAAATGTTATATTTTATTATTCCAGAAAGAAGATAAGTGTTATAGATGCTGTAGGAAATGCTTTTCTTATGGGAAATAGAGAAACGAACGGTGCTGCTGAGAGTATCGAAGGTACTTCAAGCACGAAACATGACGAACAAAACCAAGATCCAAGGAAGAAGTTTAGGAAGACTGTGTCATCAGTTCTCATTGACATGAGTCAGGCAAGAAGACGGAAGTTGTTACAAAATAATAGGTAACAAAGCATACTGTGATAGTATTTGCATAATTTACGTGTAAGATTGAAAATAAATTCATGTATATATTTAAATGAACAAAGAATGCGTATCACCAGTAATACAATAAATAGCAAATGAAAATATTAGGTATTAGGTTAACACCGTGACATACAAAATTTCAAATATTCATGCTGAATACGGCATTTTTATATATATCATGTAGTATCCGTAATCCTGATTAAAACAACATTTTCAAATTAGACTAGTTCTGATTCTATAAATATCACTGTTTTATATTAAACACCATAAACCTTGTATATTAAGCGCACTGCTTAACATTCCTGTCATTGCCAACTTTGAATATGTTTAGGGACAATATAAAAACTAAAACAAATTGGGTTTTCAAGTGTTACAAAATGTGAGTTTTTTATTTTTGCCAAAACCGGGGGTTTTTAAAGGTTTTAAACAATCTTTTCTTTCCCCTTCTAGCTTCATACAATTAGAGAGATTTTTTAAGGGAGCAGAAAATAGGGAGCTGGCCAAAAACAGGATGGGCGATCCATGTTAAAAAGACCCAACTATTGACGAATTATGGGAGACCAAGACCGACGAGTAAAAGATAAATAAAAGGATTGTGATCAACGTTGGGGCAGTCACCAGTTTCTAAAGACCCACGATAGAAAGTAGGAAAAACAAAAAAACTACAATTATAACTTATAAAATAGATGAAAAAATATTTTTTAAAAGTGTTTTTTTATATCAATATAAAGTGTGTGCCAGAAATTTTTATTCCTTTTAACGGGGGACAAAAATTTTTTTTCAGAAAATAAAGTACAAATTTTACTTCTTAAAGTTTCAACAGTCATGCAATTCGTACGTCTAAAAAACTACAGAAAGGGTTTTAAAATGAACTAAAAAAATAAGACTTTTATAAAATATGAAAAAAAAAAAATCTATTTTTTTTCTTTGGGGGGATTAAATTGGGGTGACATTACGACAATCAGTCTATTTGTTAAGCTTGTTTTAAAAGTTAAAAGGGGATAATCAACTGCCTTTTTTATTAGAACCCCAGTAAGCAGTGATGGGGCCTTTTAATACTTAGCATCTCCACGAATAATGTGTTGCGAGAAAACAAGCCTCCTGACACCCTTAGTAAGTATGCAAGCACAATCTCGGCTACGTATAACGTTGTGTTATGAAAAATAATAACCGTATTCGTTACTTCTAATTGGGCTTTTGGTTAAATATTTGACCTTTAGAATGCGTCCATGTAATCTAACGTTCTTGTTCATATTATGTATATTTTCATCATGCCATTTGTCTTCATTTGTAATTGTTGTGTTGTAAGAAAAGGAAGAAATTAGATAACCTTATACTTACATTTATTAATTTATACTATGACATTTGAGAAATACTTCGTTTTTAAGAGTATTTCTGAATAAGTATAAAGTGACTTTTTTTGTATTTACATCATTTTCGAACATAATATGATAGTCATGTTTGAATGTTTTAATCCGCATTTTATTTGACGATGTGTGTTTTAAAGATTTACAGTATATTTAACATTTTGTGTAATATGTGATGAATACTGTACAAATGAATAATGTAATCAATACATTTGTGCTTTTTTTATTAGTTTAATAATATTTTATTGCATACATAGATATACATCAATTCATTTACTCCAACAAAAATTACACAACATACAAAAGGGTTGGGCCAAACGTTTTTTACACTATTATCGTGGGCCCTTCCCTGTAAATGTTCAACACCAGTTTCATAAAGTAAAGATTATTATACATTTAAGTAAATATTAAGTATACATTTTTTAACTGTACATTTGTGAATATATAAATTTGCGCATGCTTATTTTAATAATATTTACATTTGTTTTTCTTAAAAATTTAAATAATTTATTTGTTGTTATGTAAAAAGTTTTATGACCTCCAAAATTTACCTTACAAATGATGTTATCATATTAAAAATTTTTTTAACGATATACATGTAGTATCTAAATTCTGTACAAACAACTCAGTTTGCTCCAGAACACTGTGTGCCTGTGAACCGTTTTATTTTCCAATAAGTCCACAAGTCAGAAAACACTTAAAACATATTTCGTTAAATTTACTTCATGCAAGAACAAATTAACGACAGAGAAAAACTCTTATAAGCAATATATTTCATTTACAAGGGTTGATTGATACTTTGTTTTATTTTTGTTTGCTAGTTATATGCATTGACGTAAAAGATAAAGTGTCAATTAGGAAAGTATTAATGATTTGACAAAATACAACACTATTGTAGTACATCTTTATTTACAAATGTTTTTGGACGACTCATTAATTTATTATCATTTTAGTATTAATATGTTTGTGTGTTTTTTGTTTTGTTGTTTTTATTTGTTTGTTTGACTATATTTTGAGGTACTCTTTTATTGTTCTTTTTCAGTTATTTACCAATTTTGTTTTTATTTATATGTATTTCTTTTAAATTATATGTATTTTATCTCTTTTTATTTCTTTTTTTTTATTACGAGAAGAGTTTTCCTATCTAATACTACTCTGTTGTAAACTTCTGTCATTTGTCAAACGACATATTGCACATAATGTGTGATATAATAATAATATAATATTGTAATAATGTTTTTAACGATTGACTGCAAAATCGTGTTTTTCTTTATCTTCCGTGAATTTAGCTTTTATTACAGGATGAACTCTTTGACATCTGTATGTCATTTTTTTTTAAATAAATGACAAGAAGCATTTGGCAAAGCTCTAGTATTTCCCCCAAAAGGAAGGGAAATTTTTTTTTAATTCTTGTTAAAAAAATGGAAACCTATTTTTTCCACCTTTACATAATGGTAAACCCCGGATTTTCCGTTTTCGACATATGGAAGTAATATTTTTTGGGGGTTTCCCCCTTACAAATTTTTAAACCTCGGAATTTCCGTAGCCCCTTTTAATAATGGGTTTAAACTCGGTATTTCCCTAGCCCCAGCAAATGGGTAACCCCGGGTAATTTCCATTCCCCAGTAATGTAAGCCCCAGTATTTTATACAATGTTTGCCTTTTGAAAAAGTAAACCTCAAGGGGTTTTTCCCTCGTTAAAACAAATTTCTTTAACGCTTTGGTACATGCAAAAAAAAGGAAAAGGTTTTGGACAATTAGTTGTACAGAAAATGACGAAAGCGTCAGATAAAAAATTTTTAGTTTTTTTGATCATGTTTTTGCCCACCGTTGATTTTTTACCAACTGGAAGGGGGCAAGTCCCAGCGTACTCGCGAACAAAATAGTAACAATCATATGGAAGCAGATTGTTATATATATTAAGATACATTCAATTTCAATCCGGTCGATATACAAAAAATGTATATAAACTTGTAAAATATTAGACATATGAGATAAATGTTGAAGCGACAAGAGCAAAATATCTGCGGATATATATGCGGACTGAGTAAAATATCTTCTCTATAAACATTTTATTCTATACTCTTAGAGTAACGTTTAAAGTTGTGAGAAAAGAATGGTACCACAGTGTACCGGAGAATACACATCAGCAAGCATAAAAAGTTAACTAAATATTAAAGACATGTGTTTGCCAAGTTACACAAAATAAAATGTCTGTTTCAATTCTAAGATGATTAACGTAATACTGAAAGAAAGCAAAACGAAATGATGCAAAAAACGCCGCTGTATAATTTACCTTGGTCGGCGACCACAATTCCTTTTTTCGAAATGAAGCAGAATTAAGGCATAGACTGCACAGAGTGTGGGCATTTTAATATAATATCCAAATCCAAAACAAACGATAGCTTATACTTTACTATATTTGATATTTGTACCGCGTAACACTCTTGAAATAAAGCGTTATTACATCTTTGTGACTTGTATTATCTAATACGTCTCAGCTTGCAAAACCGTTGTTATTTTCCTAATTCTTTATTTTGAAGACTGCTTTTTTGCTGTTATTATAATAAAATTATTTGTAATAAATAATAATGTCAAATGCCAGTCATTTAACAGCGATAAAATAATTGCCTCTTTATCCACAAATTAACATGACCTAAATTTATAATCATGATAGGGAATTGGTCACATGGTAATTTTGTAGTATTTTAGTATTTTGTAGTATTTTAGAACCTCGTTAAATAGATGTGTAATAAATAATACTATTACATGTATGCAACTCGATTTAAGATATTTAAAAAGAAATCTTAAGATAAAATGTTTTTGAAATAAAATAGTTAAATGTTCATGTTCATTATCTACAGTTTTAGTTATATGAAGTTAAATCTTATACATTGTAATTAGGTGCTATTTTAAGACTTAATACAGTCCCTGGGGATTGTTTGTGTGCAAAAAGATCCATGGATTTTTTTGTGTATAATTCATTTTAGTATAGGTGATGGATAAACTTCACATCCTATTGGAACAATATGAGAATGGGACCTTTTCCATTATTTATACACATGCTCTAGATTTTATAGATTAATTCTGCTTAAAAAAGCATGAAAAATATACAAAACAATCGACATAGGGTTGACATGTTTTCCTATTAGTCAAGGCATAGCGGAGAAAATGAATATTTTTACCATATATTACAAAGAGCTGGACAACATCTTCGTAATTGCACCCTTATTTTTACCTTTATAGTGTAAGAATGTGGATTCTGATATTCTTAAAGTCGGTGGGGTACACGAAAATCAAGTTTTAGTATTTTGTGAACTGGTATGTGATGATCGATAATTGAAACTATGAATTGTCAACATGTATTGCACTTTGTCATATACCTAAAGTTATAAGTAAATAAGAATGCTAGATTTTATATTTTGTGCAACAATATAGAACATGTTCTGTTTCCATGGCAACGGAGTATTAAATGAAAGATACATAAAATTAAACGCACCTGTACAGTATGATACTTTCAACTTTTAGCATTTTTAGCATTTTGATAAGAATAACATGATAATACCATACACAAATTTTGGGCAAATTAAGTATGTTATAATATCATGGTTAAAGATTTCGTTTAAAATCTGCAGTTGCACTTAAGGCTAGCAAATTATCAAAACATAACATTTAAAAATCAAGAGTTTTCATTATGCATTTGAAGAAATACCTTTTTTTTCAATCTGCTATGCAGAAAACATGTCCTGTCAAATGGGTTTGTTGTTACTATTGAAAGGTATAAAAGAAGTGGCGAAAATAATAAATAAAAGCAGGCACATTGCAAAAGTCCATGTAAACATGTATCAAATGTCAAGACTCCCTCTGATACGGTAAATTTTAAAACTGGGCTAAATAATGAAATATAAAAAAGACAATATAATCTTCGTACATTAGTAAAAAAAAACATTTACGCAAGAGCGCTCGGAACAGCAAATCTGCTCCTGTATTTTTTCTATGTGGAGCATGCGATCGTTAAGCTGCAGTCTCACTAACAGATTGGCGGAGTCCAGGCAGAACCCCGGGAGACGTCCGGATGATCCGGGAACGACCGGAGTACATCCGTAACTCTGCCGGCAACGTTCAGGATTATCCGGGAACATCTGGCATTCGACCTCAAATGGCATAAACTATTTTATATCACCGGAGTGGTCCGAGTTGATCCGGGTAGTATAGCTTTGCCAGCTTTATCATTAGGTCTGCCTGGAACGACCGGTGTTACACCGGGGAAGCACCGTAGCTCTGCCGGCACAAACCGAAGATGATTCGGGGTATGATATAGCCGGTATAGCTAGGGTAGACCCCCGGTGATTGCCGGCAGAGCCTCTGTAATGATGGCAGAGCCCCTGTGTATGACGGCAGAGCCCCGGAGGATGACGACGGAGCTACAGTTGATCCCAGTAGAGCCCCAGCAAAACCCGGAACATTTCAAAAGAATCACGACAATTTGCGATGATTGCACATGTTTGTATTAAAAACCTTCCTTATTTTCCATCTGTTTAGTCTTGCTTAAGGATTATTCAGACAATCATCATGAAGTACTGTTCTGGGACAATAGATATTATATTAAATGAAAATTATGTATCCGTTTTCAATCCACCGGGGTTCTACCGTGGCTCAGCCGGGATCGTCCTGGGCTTCGCCGGGGCTCTGCCTGGGTCAACCGTGGCTCTGTCGGCGTCATCGGGGAAAGACAGGGGAAGCACCGGCATGAACCGTAGCTTCACCTATGCTCTGCTAGGATGGTCCGGAGCGCATCCTTGGTGGTAAGTTGGGAATTACCGTAGTGCTGCCGGGGTAAGTGTGATCACAACAACAATTTCACCCCGGATCGCCCCGAATCATCCCAGTAACTTAATGGGGTGGTTCCTGGCTCTGCCGAGAGTAAGTGAGATCGCAGCTTTAAGTTGGAAAGATTGAAAACAACAGATATAATGACTGTATGAAAATGCATTGCAAACACAACAAAATGAAAAATTTCGCATTGTTAAAATGAGTAAATCCTTTAGCATTCTGGAATTCCGCATTTTTCCCATCGAACATTTGGGTCCATGCTATAGCACCATAAGAAACCTGTAAGTGAAAATTACAATATTATACATAAACAATGTTTACTCTGAAGAATAAAATCGAAACGCAGGTATAAATTTCACAAAAACGAAGTCATTGTGATCATTTTACGGCTTTATTTTCTTAGTCATATCGTTTATTTATTCAGAGACGTCAGTCTATAAGCGAATACCATTAACATTATCTGGGCACTACTATAGATTGATCAAGTCAGTGTAAAAAAAGATTGGTACAGTTTATATTATAACCGAAACGTGGTATTCATATCATCAGGAGAGAACTATACAATATTGAAATATTTAAAGTTACTAGAATATTATTTATGCGAAATTCACCATCATGTGCAAACCGGAAAACAATTTATGTGTATTGTCAATGATTGCACGGGTATCATACCTCAAACACAATAACAAGTTAACTGTATAATTGTCTTTGGTATATTTACAGTATCGTTTTGGATGTAACCATTCAATTATTTTTAAGTAGAGTAATAGCCATGAAATATAGATAAAAAATTGTTATAATCTATACATCTTTAACAAACCATACCACACCGTATTTTAATGACAATTGTGTGTCTGTTATAAAACATCAGTTATTTGTATGTGTGTCATAAAAGTAGCAAGATGTAAACAAAGTAGTATTTTGACTTCATACAAAATACCGTAACTAATCACTCATATTACTTGAAGTATTGCCTAAAAGCACCAGAAGCAAAGGATGTTCCAAATGATTGACAAATGAGTAACTTTTTTTAAAATGTAACAGGACACCAAAATGCATAACTTCTGAGAAAGAGAAATAAAAAAGCAATGTTGTGATAAAATTGGCCTATAAAGAAGATCGTTTACTTCTGCGGTGAAACGATAAAAAACTAAAAAGTTTTTCGAGTTTCTTCTTACGCATGAAATAAAAGGGACTAAAGGTTACGCTTTGGAAATGTGTGGTTTTTTTTCGATTACACGTTCAACAGTCCGAATGTTTCAAAGAGATTATCGGTTAATATGATGCTACTTACCGGAGTTGTCGGGATCTCGACAGTAGTTTTGAGCGGCAGTTACGGAACCGTCGGCATCGAATTTATAGTCTGCCGTTTGGTCATGTGTGTGCGGACTTTGCTCATCCCACCGCTGACATTCCCTACCAGACTCGGCACGGTATCAAGTTCCGTTGTAGCCATAGATTGATTCGCAACAATAATCTTAAAGTGGCGGTGATACATTGTATATAATTGCAGTAAAACGTTCCAAATGATTTATTTGTAATATATTAATAATAGACACATTTTCCATAATGTTCAATAAATAAATTGAACTAAAATGTCTTCTAGCTAGACATGTTTCATAAATTAAGTGTAATTCCCGTCAATTTACAATAAGGAAATGGCAGAGATTTTTTTGTCAAATTATTGAAATTATAAGAAAGGAAGAGAAGAAAACATATTAAAAACATGGATAAACGTTCTAGAAAAACATTGACACCAATGAGTAAAAGCTAAACGATAAAATAGCATAAAAAAAGCAGAAAATGACAAATTCTTTGCTTAATCACTTATTTACCTTTTCAATAATTCGACAAATCATACTTGTTGCAAATTTGGGTAAATGTACAATTTTATTTTCTTTTATTATCTTTTTTGGCAATCATCAAAAGTTTCATTGAAATGAAAAAATGATGTTTATTTTTAATTTTTTGTCGGTATTTTCCCAAAAAGGGAAGGTTTTACAGTTTGTACTTTTCTTAGGCTATCTCTTTCCCAAAATTTTTTTAATTAGAAAAAAAGGGGGCACTTTTTCGTTGGCCCCATGGGCATTATTAAATAATATTTTAAAAATTGGGATCGCCGTTCATTTCCCGAAAAAATTGTTACGACTATAATAAAATCAATATAAAAATCTTCAATTTTTTGCCTTTTCGAATTCAGGATCCGTTTTAAACAATTAGTTTTTGGAACAAGCTATATTTGTTTTGTTTTAAATGAAAATGACGTATACTTGTAAACACTTTATAAGAGATGTCTAACTTATTCATGCCATTTAAAAAAATCCGGAAAAACCCTCAGAGTATTAGAATATCTTTTTCTTTATCTCTTTACTTTTCTTGACGATATCGTATTTTCAAAAGTTCTTTTAACTGTTTAAGTTATGAAATTAATAGATCATTAAATAATGATTGACCGTATATTTCGTTATGTTTGTTTGTTACAAAAACATGCATTGGCAACTCTGGCCTCGTAAATCAGTATTGTTTCAAAATGTATATACGAGTCAATCTATCGATTGGTAAATTGCACCGTGTCTAGCAAAATTTGTTATAACTTTATCTATTGGCATTATACCTCTTTTTTGGCAACACGCATCACATGTTTCACAACCCTTAGGAACATCATTTCCACAAACGCTTTCTCGATTGAAATTGCTCTCACACATTTCTTTTTCTGTGTTCCCGTGTTGACGATCCTCCTCGGTCAAAATATAACAGTCGTGAATTTTATCTACAGGATAAAGGAATTGTTAAAATTTCTGTTTCGAATCAGTAACTTTAGACCTTTTGACAAACCTTTTTGTAAAAGGTACCTCAATACAAGTTTTTCTTCTTTCTAATTTCATGTAATATTTTGTCTCTGCTGATAGTTTTGGTAAAAAAAAACAACACAAACATATGCTGAATTAATCTCAAAATCGAAAATTTACCAGAGTATTCTGGACCTTAGCATCATTTCTTAAAGTCTAACGACTAGTTTGCTATTATATATACAGAAAATGCGTAAAGAAATTTCATAAGACATAGTAACTTTGTTATGTATTTTAAGATTTTACTTTCCTTATAATAATTCACAACATTTTGTGTAAATTCACTAAAATTGAATAGTGAAAAAAAAAGAAAACAAAAACACTGTGTTTGGTTCAACCCAGATACTGCTTGTGCCAGAAATAATACATAAAAGGACACGTGAATTCTACCTCTACCGGTAAAGCTGAGAGTCTTCATAAACTGTCATTAAGACTTAAAACACAAGCAAACAGACAGAAAAAATATGGGGTGTGAATTTAGTATTTGTTTGTGTTCATTTTTTTAAAGAAATAAAAAACATATGCTCGACCGAGAGTAAAAACTCAAAACGTTTTTAAGATTAATGCAATATCTAAAGAAATAACACGCACCACTCAAGTTCTGAAAAGAGGAGACTTGTGTTTGCGTTTGTTTATCCTCGCCACCGGAAGGAAACCATATGGGCGAGCAAAAGAAGAGGAGATTCCTCGCGAACCGTGAAATATGAGAAAGTTAAAAAAAAGAATTTTACACAGGAATTTCCACAAAAATATTATTTTCAAATATTAATGACATTACGTCTTTTAAATGAATTATGAATGTGTGTTCTAATTTTTATACCGTTTCTAGCTGGTTCGTCACACCATGGTATGCCACATGCTTCCCATCGAGTATCTGGATCTGTGGTATAGCACCAAGTGAACCCTGAAATAATTGTTTCAGATAATATAATCTAATCAAGAATGCAGGCGATAGGAATAGATAAGGAACCGTTTGGTTAAAACTTTGACATTTAAAAGAGTATACGTATTTCAAGCTTACAGCAACAAATAAATGTTCAATAACAAGACAGGTAATAACTTGCGGAAAGTTTTGACTTTCTGTACTTGTAATGTATTGTGCATGTAAGTGAGCATGAGCAGGCACCGCCAGAATAAACAATTAGTTATCAATTAATTTGCAGCAAGGCAAAATAATGAGCAAAAAAAAACGTAATCTGGAAAGTCTTAGTTCGAATCGGTATTTAGTCTTATTATCCTCATATATTTAGGGGTCGGACGGGTTGGTTTCATTTGAGAAAGTAATTTCATACCGTCACCTCCCGGATCTCTACAATAGTTTTTGGCTTTACACAATGATTGCTCGGGAAACTTGTCCGCTGTGTATTTGTGTTCATGTGGCGTCTGTTTATCCCAACGCTGGCATTCTAGTCCGGACTGCGTCGTGCTTTTGTTTCCGGTATAAAATTTAAATTCACCGAGTTGGAAACATTCTAAAAAAGTTAAGGGGTTTCTGAAATTTAAAAAAATACTTGCAACTAACCTTTTTGGTAATAAGAGATTGAGTTTTACAGCAATTTTTTGGCCAATTCCCTCTGTTAAGCCCCTAAGGACCTCAAACATAAAAGTAAGGGAAATTTAAAAAAAAAGGGTACAAATATTCGATCTAAAAATTACACATGTTTAAAAAACAAAAAAATTTAAAGGGCCCAAAGAAGGAGGGTTTGCTGAAAAATATTTCCAACATATCGTAAAAAAGTCCATCAAAATGAGTAATTTATTTAGATATAAGTTATTTTTAAAGCACTTAATTATTTATATACCTATTATTATATTTGTTGAACCATACTGTATCCTTTATACTTTTTGACAGTGATTCGAATTATGTTATATTTGTATATCAATAGGCATTCAAATTGATTGATAATGATTGTCAGACATTTTTCAATTGTAACAATACCGAAATAGACTTCATTTACAATAGGATGGCAAATGCATACTTCCGTTATTCCTTATACATATATTACAACCTCTTTTTTTCCTCGAAAATTACGTAGTATAATATATCAATCGCTAAAGATTGAACTCTTTATTCCAGTCTAAAACAGATTTTATAACGGGCCCATTGGTTGGTTCAAAATTGTTAAGTTATTTTAGCACGTATATAAGAAGCTGAGCGGCGTGGTAGAGGTATCTTTCGGATAAAAACTGCAAAAAAGGTAGCATGTAAAATTTCAAACTATTTCAACTTAAATTAAATGTAGCTTTACTCGGTAATAACCACACCCTCAATCCCAAAACACAAATGACATTTGCTTCCGAATTATTGCGGGTTTTTTTCTGGGTGTTTTCAGGCTTTTTCAATGAGGGAATTTTTCGTCATGGCTGGAGTATTGTACTTATAATCCTAATGAAAATGTTAAAAATAATCAAGACATTGTTGAGCATCAGCTTACGTTAACGACACTGACGTTTATATGACATGTAGTGAAGTTCATTTTCATTTATATGGAACATAAATCTGCATTTTATATTATTTGAAGCATGATTTACGTTTCCCTAAATTATAAGTATTAAATATTTGAATTTTCGTTAGGCATATTCTATAATATTACATGAAACATATATTTAAATTCGTATCTATATTTCTTTTTCACCAGCCATTGACAAACTTTCGCCAAACCTGAAATAAAGCGTGAAAACCAAATTTGTCTCCTTGTTTTTGTGATAGAATAATTGTTTTATTCCGTTTTTAGCCCGAGTTAATAATCACCACGCCGTTCAGATGGAAGGCATTCTTTGTATAGGGGAACTTGAACTATGTATAACGGTTAAAATTATTTGATTTACTTCGCATAAAGCAATTTCTTGTACGACTTTCTAGAATAGACCTACACCAAAAAATAAGAATATTTTTGTTTTTTCTCCCAGCTAATTCTGTGTACACTCCCAGCTAATTCTGTGTACAGTTAAAGCTTCGAAAATAAGCGCAACTGGTTGACCAATCTATTGACATTGGCATTGCGCCATGAAAGGTAAAACGGTAAAGGTTTGTTTGAACCGGGGCATTGCTTAGGAAACCTTACATTTGCAGAGTTCTGGATAACATCTATTGGTATACCGTTTTGCTACAGATGTACATGTATATATGTTGACATTTTACAATTTAGACTCTTTTTTTTCTTATGAACTGGTCGTGTATATATTTGGTAAAGAGAACGAGAATGAAGGCCATCAAAAAAATAAGATCATAGGTTCCTGAAGAAATATAACAAACTAAGAATTTGAACAGAGCATATACATTTATAAGACGAATGTTTACTGAATACAAAAAAATATTAAATCTAATAATCAATATGACAATTTAATTTTAATAAAAGAATATTTGAGATTATTTGAGAAGAGTAAAATGCAAAAGGAAATAAAACGATATAACTTAATAGTCTAATAATGATAATTTAATTTTAATAAAAGAATATATATTAAGATTATTTGGAAAAGTGTAAAATGCAAAAGGATATCAAACTTTATAACTTACCATCATCTGCTGCTACAATTCGTACTTCAACCACAAACAGAATAAAGAAACAGATTGCATAAAGCCTTTCCATGATTGTGTCCTACCTAGACTTAAATCCAGAACGGACTGGTACATAAAAGTCACTGTACTTTGTATATATAGCGTGATAGTATCTATTACCAAAAAGGCAATTACATGTTTGCTATAATATAAAATTGTAATCTGCCTTTACAGGACAAAATTGTTGTTATTACCACATTTGCATGTTGAACATACCGTTTTTACATTACTTCAAAGAGTATGTAAGCTGTATTATCATAAGTGGATAGCATAATTTCATGTAATAAGATATAATACAAGCAATCTGTCATTAAGTATTGTAAATTTCTGTAAAATTAATGCTAAAGCTCATGAGAGTTTTGTAGCATGTTTCTATTCATATGGTTGTTCTTTTAATGTCATTTTAGATTGAGTAATGGTAACAGAGTCATACAAGATATGAGCCGCGTCAAGACAAAACCAACATAATGGGTTTGCGACCAACATGAATCCAGACCAGCCTGCGCATCCGCACAGTCTGATCATGCTGTTCCCTATCAGTTTCTCTACTTGTTATAGGGTTTGTAAGCGAACAGCATGGATCCTGATATTCAGACTGCCCGGATGTACAGGCTGGTCTGGATCCATGCTGGTCGCAAACCCATTACGTTGGTTTTGTCGTGACGCTGCTCATATATATTTGATCAAAATCATATTCAGTTTATATTTTAACAACATAATTAACTATATATACTTAACAAAGTCATACTCTGTTTTGAGTTTAACAAAGTCATAATCAATATATATTTTAACAAAATCATAATTAATATATATCTTAACAAAATCATACTCAATATATATTTTAACAAAAGTATACTCAATATATATTTTTAACAAAATCATAATCAATATATTTAAATGAAATCATAATCAATATATATTGTAAAAAAAACATACTCAAAATATTGCTTAACAAAGTCATACACTCAATATATAGTTTAACATAATCGTACACATTATTATATTTAAAAAAAATGGTAATCAACAAAATCAAACTGAAAATAATATATTCAATAAAGATGTTCTCCATAACAAATCGATCTTAATATGCTCGTTCATGTTCATTTGCACACGTTTATAAACTTGAGCAAAAAAAAATGAAGTTGACATTTTAAAGGCCCATTATGCCTCAGAAGTATTTTACTTTTTTCTGTTAAGTGTTTATCTTATTTTGATGTCATAGTTTCTATAAAGTTACTCATCGGCCAGTAACTGGAACCATGTTTTGCCGTGTTACCATTGGCAATTAGTAAAGTTATAGAGATTCAGTATTTTGAATGGAAGTAAGAATACTGATTTGTTTACATTTTACTACTTTTTAACAAATAATTTCACTTTAAGCGCTACTTTGCTCTGGTTCTAAACATTCTCTAAACCCTTTTTACATGATATAAAACTTATGTTTGCCATTGATAAATATTAAGATATTTTACCAAAAGGATTTAGATTTTATTTTTGTAAATTACGAATGGGTGGTCTTCCCCTTAGAATTCAAACAGGAAGATTTAATAGAAACCCTATTCCCCGTAATGAACGATATTTTTTATGTTGTAACAATTTAGATATAAAAGATGAATATCATGCAGCTTTTATTCAGAATTAAGAAAAAAGTACATAAAGGATATTTACGTCAAAAGACCATATGTTTATAAATGTATCAAACTTTTGAATTCTTGTGATAAAACCGAGCTCATACAATTATAATTGTTCATAAAAAACGCTCTTGCTTTAAGAAATTCAGCATTAACTGTAGAAAGATAACTCTAATACATGTTCTTTCTCCTTATACATGATTAATTGTTTTGATATATATGTATTCAAATTACTACCATTACTGTCAAAAATAAGTCTGTTCTTACTGTATCTCACGTTGATATATATAATTATTGATATGTATATACAAGATGATGTACTATGTACAAATCTGAGATGTAATGTGCCTTTAAGGAAAAATACTGATTCTCATCGTGCGTAGCAATTGTCCCTTACCACGCTAAATATCTTAACATGGTAATGTCAAGCTTTCATTCTAGACACAACTATTTATTTTCTTAGGCCAGAAGTCAGAATGTGAACTCACTGAATAGCGAAGCAAGAAAACTATGAGTATTCATCGCGGATGAGTAGGCTGGTCATGGTCTGCATTTGTCATATATGTAGAATCTGCTGCCGTCAGGTGGCTCTAGGGTTGAAGCCTTAGATTTAAGTTCTAAAAATATATCGTTTGGTGTAGGAGAGTTGCACATATTTAGGTCATACGAGTACATATTAGAACATGTTCAAAGAAGGGGCAAACTTTGCTTAAATTTTTTATCAAACCACGACATCGAAACGCATATTCCTGTATATAAGAGCAAATCACTTTAATACTTATTTTGTTACAATTTAGAATTGAAGCATTTATCTTCTACACTTTTCCAGACATGTACTTAGCTAAGAAACCAAAGAAAATCATGATGACAAATTTCACGCAGAAGCACAGAAGTTTCATATTTGGCTGTTAAACATGGAGTGACGAATGAAATAACACTTTGTCTATTTGACAATATTTATTATCAGATTTTTTTTTCTCTAAACACTTGTCAGGAAAAGATTTGTCAATAGAATTCACATAATGGGTAACGAAGGATGTCACATCGTTTTGTGCGCCAAGTCCATTCCGCAGTGTCGTGATTGGGATGCGCCCTTTACCAGTAAATTTTGGTTTTTTCGTTTATTGGGGGAAAACTAAAAAACCTTTTGTATATGAAAATTTGAAACAGTCCCCAAATTCCAAAAGATACTTTTCCCCTTTGGGCCCCTTTTTTTTTTTTTCCCCAAAATTTTCAGAAGCAAAATTAAATTTTGTTTCGAATATGACGTTACATTGTTTTTTAAACATTTTATTTTAAAAAAAGGGTATTTTAAAAAAACCCCTTTTAAATTTTAAAGGGGCAAAATTAAAACGAAATCTTGAAGGCCCAAGCCCAACGCGCAAAAACCTCGCTAAAAAAAATTTTTTGGGAAATATGTTGTTACGGAATAAAAAATTTTATAAAATTTAAAAACCTAAAAACTCAGGGAACAAATGTATTTTTTCTAAAAAAATCACGTTTTTTGGACAAGGTTTTTAATTCCTTTTAAAATTTCTTTTGGAGTCTATAGATTTTAACAAGATTTTTCAAATGGTTTAAAAAATTAAGTATTCGCAAAAAGGGGGTTTAATACGTGTTCGGGGGTTTTTGCTCTAAATAAAAAAATTGGTATTGGGGTTTTTGGAATTTTCAGGGGAATTTTTTGACTATTTTAAATTTTTTTAAAAGAGTTTTAATTTATCCCAAATTTTTAAATTTAAACTTTCCTAATTTTCGTTTTGTAGCCCGGTTTGGACCAAAAAACATATTTTTTTTTAATTTTTCCCTTAAAATTTTTTTGAGTTTAAAATTTTATGTTTTATAGGGAATTTTATTTTTAATTTAACAATATTTTTTTTTCCCAGAAAAGCCATTTTTTTTTGTTAAATATTCGCCGAATTATATTATAAGTCTTAGGAATAATATATTTTATTTAAAAGATCTAAATATTGCTGAAATTTCATTTTGTCCTAAACAGAAGTCAACAACAGATTTTTTTATAAAATCATGTTTCACGACTGGTGTAGTATTATATTCTACTGGCTGGAATTGGATTTCCCCAAGTTGGGAAAAAAAGATTGAGACTCATATTCAATTGATCATACACAGTAGGGACTGTTAATTTTATGCGTGTTAAATTAAACGACAACGGAAAAGCATTGATTGCAAAGCATTATCAAAAGGGCGTCCAAGCAGAAATGCAGCAGGTGGGAAGATTGAACTAGTAGGATATTATGATGGGACAGACACGATATTCTTATAAACTGTTTCAATGGTTATTTTGGTTTTTTTACCAAGAATTGTATATCACTTATAAATAAACGGACGAAAAGACATTGGTCATTATTAATTTTTGATTTGCATTGCTTAATGAGATTAGAATATTACTTTGTTATTTCTTTATGATCGTGGTTATTAATAGCAAACGGATATACATTGTATACAATTCATTTATAATCCATATGTGTTAACGCAATGATCAAAACACACTTGTTGTTATTGGCGTGCGCGCCGAAGCGCGGCGCCCCTTTATGGAATGAAATCAGATTTTTGTGAAAAAGGGCGACAGCAACTTCTCGAGCCTTTTAGGTCGGTCATAATAAAAGCGCGATCATTCCGATCGGTATGAGGGTGCTTGATTATTATGTAATTAAAAATGAAATGTCGCGATATGTACAATGAATAGCGAACTGGAGGATTTCGCAATGCAAACATTTTTCAAAAATGCAATAACCTTTTCCGTCTCTTCGGTTTTTGGGGGGGCTATCCCGGCCCCAATTTTAAATTTAACTGTTGTAAAAAATTTATTTCCCGGGGGTAATCAGGTAAAAAAATAGTCCCTTGATTTTTTCTAAGCTGATCAATAAACTCAAAAAAAAGGCATTTAAATATAAAAATTTTTCCCAATTTTTTTTTTTTTATTTGCAATTTGAAAAAGAAAAATTTTCTCTAAAAATTTTTCTTGATTTTTTGTTTAAATACTATTCCGTGAGTAACGGGCGCGGTAATCGGGTTTTAAAGGAAATACGAAAGTTTGTAATAAATTTTTTGGTTTTTAAAAACCCCTTCAAAAAAATTTAATTTTAAATAATATTTTTTAAAAAAAAAGCAAAAAATTTAAAAATTTAAAAATTAAATGCTTTAAATTTAGTGGAAATATTCTTTTTATTTTGTTTAAAAAATTTTCCAATTTTTTTCCCCGCAGCAACCAATGTTTTTTAAAGGGTCATTAACTAAAAGGTTGGGGAAAAGTATTTCCTTGTGTAACCCGGGCCCTTAAATGAATTTTTTTGGGGACGGTTGTTTTAAAAGGGCGTATTCTAAATATAATTAAAGTTTTTGTTGTTAAAAACCCTTTTAAAAGCCCTTAAAATTTTTTTTAAAAAAAATTAATTTTGAAAAATGCCCCTTAAATTAAGGGGAATGGATTTTTGGTTGCTTTGATAAAAAAGGAAACTTTTAT